TAATATTACGCTTCGTGGTAGCAGCAACAATGATACTATACTTACATGCCTTCATCGTGGAATTGGTTTAGCTTTTATCAACGTCAGCAACTTACAGATAGAGAATCTTACCATTGAAAACTGTATCCTGAACAATGATGACTTAACTGATGCCCTTAATGTTGCAAATGAGACGATTCACCTGTTTTATTCAGCTGATGAAATACGAGTGAGTCTATTAATGGCTGATATTAGCAGATTAAGTATGACGTATGTCACAATTAGAAATAATACTGGCATTGGGCTGCTGGCTATTAATCTAATGGATGAATCCAGCATTAGTAATGCTGTCTTTGGACACAATGCACCAAATGAATGCATTATTTCATTAAATAACCCTGATGGTGCCAGGGACAAAGTCGCTGGTGGAATGTTTCTCTTTTATTCTGATTACCGAAACAAAGAAATTAATTTTCAGCCATCCCTCACTATCAGTGAATCCTTGTTTCATGACAATATGTATTGCAGTCTGCTAGCTGGAATTCCATTGGTTTTTACATTTTCTCCTTCATTTGAAAATTTCGGATTCACATATGGAGGGGGAGGTGGCTTAGGTCTGGTTCTTTCTCAAATTAATTACTCGGTAAATATTATAGTGGAGGAGACAAGTTTTGAAAGAAACGTTGGTCCACTAGGTGCTTTACAAATTGAACAACATCAAGGTTCTCATGGTTCAAACGTGATATTTGAGAGCTGTCTGTTTGATGATAATGGCTTTATGGAAGAGAGTTCAATTGACTTGAGTTTTCATTACGTAGGTGCCGCATCAATGATTTTGAATGTTCCTCGTGATTACAAAATTATAACAGATATTGCATCTATCAGGCGTAATTCCTTCCAATTCAAGAGTACACAGTTTTTAAACAACAGAGCAGATGTTTCTGGAGGTATATACATGGTAGCACTCAACTCTCCAGTAGCTGAAAATGAACTGATATCTGATGACTGTACATTCAGGAATAATAAGGCAGGACTATCATCTGCTTTTTACGCCTTTGAATATAAATTCAATGGTTTAGAGCCAGGAACCAATGTCATTATTAGCAATATTATAGTGGAAAACAACAATAATTATAACAGTAATCCTTATACTGAGTTCAGACAACACAAAAGTACGATTTTAACTTTTTCAATGAATGTTACTATTTCTGGAAACTCAGCCTTTCAAGATAATGAAGCATCGGCTCTTGTTGCTGTGTCTAGTGTCCTCAATTTATTTGGCGATATATTGTTTGAAGGTAACAGAGGAGCTTCAGGGGGAGCCATTCTCATATACAGTGACAGTTATCTTGTCTTCTTTAACAACACTAGGGTAAGATTTCTCAATAATCAAGTCACTGGTTTTGGTGGGGCTATTCATTTGATAGAAACAGAAAGTACTTTTGGGCAAACCTGTGTTCTACTGTTCAATGGAGTTGACTTATACTGCTATCTCTTTGGCATGGAGTGCATTAACATTACTGACCTAAATATACAAATTTATTTTGAGGGAAATACGGCTCAGCTAGGGAATGACATTTATGGCGATATCATTAATAACTGCTCGTGGCTAATATATCTTCAAAGCCTTCAGTCACCATATTATAGATCCTTTACTGGTTACGAAATTCTTAGAAACATATCAGAAGACAAAAATAATAATTTCTCATTTGAGATACAATACTCTGATCGTTCGGTTAATACTGATGCAGTGTACCTTAATGTTCTAAGCTCTGAAGGTACCAGCAGTGATAGTCGTATCAAGTTGTTCCCGGGACAGATGGCCTTTCTTAATATCAGTGCTGAAGACAGGTATTTCCACAGTGTGCCACTGGCAATAACATCAAGCACTCTTGGAGGTGGTGAGTTCAGCAGATCACAGTTGGGCCTCTCTGGTTACTGGTTTTTATCAGGCACTGGGCAGACAAATCTAACTCAGTTGTCAGTCTATGGGGGCATTAACTCAAATGTCTCAGTGTCTATTTCCAATGTGGCCTCAACTGCTAGCACAACCTTGTACTTTGAGCTTGAGGGCTGTCCTTATGGACTTATTTATGACACCGAGGAGTGCATTTGTTCTCCTGATTTACTCAACGGACGTGATTTTGACACTTTCAGATGTGACGAGGCATCTGGTAATATAACTGTCCCACAATTCTTTTGGCTGGGCTGGACTCCTGTTGATGAATACACACTTCGTGAGTGTATTTTTGACTATTGCCAGAATGACATTGCTACAGTAACATTCAATGGAGAAGATAACATCAACAATCAGTGTGCAGATAATCGAGGAGGTATTTTGTGCGGGGAGTGTCTTGATGGCTATAGTACTGTTTTTGGATCTAACAGGTGCCTTGAGTGCAAAACTGATGCTAGAATTCTCGGACTTATAATTGGGTTTCTTGTAGCTGGGATCTTGCTTGTACTGGCAATAGTTTTCCTAAACTTTACAGTCACTGAGGGCTATCTCAATATCGTGATATTCTATGCTAATATTGTACAGCTTGCAATACCAATCCTTTCCCAATACATTAGCTATGATGCTGCTTCAGTCTTCATCTTCATCTCTTGGATTAACTTTGAGCCAGGAATTGATACGTGTCTCTTTGATGGAATGAATGCTTTGACTAGAGAAGGACTTTACCTCTTGTTTCCTTTCTATATCTTTTCCCTCATGTTTATTATCATTTATCTGGCAAGGCGATCAAAGAAAATCACATCCCTAGGATTTCAAGCTACAAGAGGTTTTGCCACTTTGTTGCTTCTATGCTATGGCTCTGTGGAAAGGACTTGCTTCATTATATTAAGTGCAGTGACTATCACTAGCAATGAGGGAAATTCATATGTAGGCTGGTACATTGATCCAAATGTTAAATATGGTCATGATGCACATGGTTTCATGGTTTTCCTTGCGATTGTTTTATTATTATTTTATATCATTCCATTCACTGTCATCCTCATTTGCCCTCCTCGCCTCATGAACAAGACCAGGTATGGAAGGAGAATAACGTTAAAATTCAAACCAATCCTTGACGCTTTTTATAATCCTTTTAAAGAAAAGTACTCCTCTTGGATTGGATTCCGTTGTCTCATCAGGGTATTTCCCCTTGCTATGGCTGGATCTTTATCATATCCCGATAATCTTTTTGGTATAACAGTCTTCATTGGAGTTTTCCTTTTCCTTCACGAGGTAATACGTCCTTACAAAAGCGAGCGACACAATAAACTTGAAACATTCTTCCTTGTCAATTTAGTCCTCATAGCTGTGGGTACTTTTTATTATCCACAAAAGAGAGATTATTTTGAAGACTACAGCTCTGCTGTCTACATCACTCTATTAGTATTGCTTGCATATGCAGGAATAGTTTACATTGGACTACTCCACAGTGATATCCTCTTCCCAAAGCTACTGCCAAGTATAAAGTTAAAATTGAAGAAAAGCTGTCAATGTAACTGCTGCTCATATTGTACGTGTTGCTGTTGTCATAAAGATCCGACTGAAAGTGATGAAGAGAAAAAAAGGGATACAACTATTATTGAGAGTTTGGAAGTACCTCCACCACCTCCTCCTCCAATTGTTAGTGTGTTTGAGCTACGAGAGCCTCTGCTGGAGTATGGAACAGCTGAGCTGACAGTTATAAAAAAAGGAGCAAAAGTTAATAACCAAAAATGAGTGAACTCAATTTTATAACTATACCTATGTAGTGAGTGTGATTTTGTGATCAATTTGTAATGATAGATCAACTAATGTGTGTACAAGTTATTATTATTATCATTTAGTCCATATGTCAGAGTTTAGTGAACCATTTGGTAGGGGTCTGATGTTCAGTTTCTGTTGAAGTTCATCAAGAGACTCCTCTAGATGCTTCTCAAAATAGACATTCATTAAAAACTTTGCTTGAAATCCATTGCTTAATGCCCAAGGACCGTAAACAGTTAACAATTCAACTTGCTCCCTGTCAGTAAAAAAAAAGAATTAAACAATCAAAATGAATTAGAAATCATTAATTTCTACAAATACTCTATTACTTGTATGATAGTTTGACTGCTGGTGGTATAAACCCTCCAAGTACACACAGTGGCAATCCGGTCTGTACGCCTTCAAATTGTTTCACAACTATCTCGCCATAAACACTATAGGAAAAATCACAAATAAAAATTTCATCATTCTTTGATGCTCATAAATCTCCTCTACCTATACAGATGCATAAATATATTTATCTCAACTGACCTAGTAGGTACTTGTAACAGTGTATGAACAAAATCATGTATCTCTCTGTATCTCTGCATAACATAAGCCAGCTCAAAGTCATCTACATACCTAACACTGGCTCTTCCTTCTGGAGTATAACCCTGTTTAATTAATATATAATTAATGTGACAATGATAGGCTATTAAGCACTAACATAATAGTCCAGGAATCTAACGTATTCTCTACCTAGGGTTTTATCAGGAAGCGTCCGGAGTTTCTCAAGATTAAGAGTGGAAGATCTAAGTCTGGGTTTTTCACTAAATTAAATAATATACCGTGAATGATTATAAAAGAGTAGGATTTCATTTACTGGAGAATTTCCTGTCCAGTTTCATCTTTTAACATTTTCTGGTGCATACACTGGAGTGCGTACCATCCTGTAACTTCACCAAACGTGTAGATGAAATCTAATTATAAAAAAGCTTCATTTAAATTATGTACCGGATAACTTGAGTCTAAAAATACTACCCATACTCCACGATATTAATAGCTTCTGTATTGACATAGAATTAAAGAACTACACATACAATCATAGTTTATTTCAGCTCACCCACTCTTTCTGGTTTACACAGTCCTCCAATCCCTGCTCCAACAGTAAGAGCTAGTCTTTGCAAGGACGTTGTTGGAACGTGAGAGTCGTACAACTTGTCACCATATGATACATTACCACTACAACTTCTTGACTGGAACAGTAAAGGTACGGTACATGTACTTGAGCAGCCAGTAAGAATCCTTCTAATGATCATCAGTGTATCTTTGTCAGTCAGTCAGTTACATCAAAACGTGTGAGAAGGTGTGTCACTATCTTTGTGAGGCAGGGCTAATTCTAATCTAATAAATCTGATCACTAAAAAGAATTAAAAGATTGTGAATTATTGCAAAGGATTAGTGCTTTAAATAAAAATAGATTACAATGATTTACAAGTCGGCAATCGAATAAATCTATCAATTGAATAAGTCTATCTTTTTCTCTCTTGCTTTTGCGTTCTCTTCTTCTCTTTCTCTTTCCTCTCCTGCTGCTTCTGCTGCTGTGCCTTCTTGTTCTCTCTGTCTCTCTCAGTCTTTAGCTGGTGAGCTCTTCTCTGTTCTTCCCTCATCTCCTTAAGAGCTGATGTTACTGAGGACTTGTTTGCATTTGCAGCTAAGTCTCCTATTAAAAGAAAAGATTCATAATACGATTTAACCAAAATTATTAGAAAAGGTTAAGCTACATCACATTAAGTACAACACATAATTCACTTATTATCTATTTTATTGATGTGATACATGTAATTTTATGAGAGATTTTAAAGCGTCCATCAATATGTAATCTAGACTTATTATTTATTCCATTTACCAGTACTATGTGATTCATTTTCTTCATCCGAGCCAGCACAACTACTGCCATATTGGATTATTAGCCGAGACTTTTCTTTGTCACTCAGTGCAGACGATGATGGTTGGGTGGCCTGCGAGACGGTACTAGGTACAGTGGCTGTGGCTTGTTTAGAAGTCTTGATGTGCTCTACCAGTGTGAAGGAATTTAATAACAAGTGCACATTATAATAAGAACATTTACGTGAGTTCAAATACAAAACTATCTAGCATATTCCACGCCAATTTTAAGAACAAGATGCAATAATGAAACCTTATTTTAATACCTTTTAATAATACTGTAGGATCATTTCTTGATGATACCTTTGCTTTGCTATCAGCCATTGCTCTTTTCCCTGCACTCCATCTCTCCACTATTGACTGACAGAGGACAATACAGTCCCCTGTTGCCTATTAGAAGAAGATAATACAAAATATTCACTATCTACAGGATTCCATACTAGTGCTCCACTGAGCATATCAATCAACTCTGTTCTTTTAGTTTCTTCTAAATTGACATCTTCCTCCTCATCTCCTTCTTCTAGTATTCCATATATATAGTCCCCATACACCTCACCGTCGAGTTCAGAGCTGTTCAGAGTTTCTATCAGCCAGGTTTTGAAATTTCCTTCAACACTGGTAGCGGCCATATTTAAAGCATCCTTCTTCTACTTCCTGCAATTGTAGTCATGCACCCAAAGATGTGTGTGTCTTACTCCACCTTTTGTTGCATTTTTCTATAGCTTCTTTCCTTTAGATTTAGAAAGCAGAAACAGTGAAACAGGCCTCTTCTAAACTGAAGAAAATGAGAGAAAAGTTGCTGTTTATACTTTGTCTTTTATCCTGGCACAGTAATGGTAGGTTTAGTAGGTTTGGGTTTAAGTTTATTAATATTTTCAATGTATTTAAAAGGACAGGAACCTTGTACACAACTGAATGTACTACGTTTAAATTCAGCTGGTGTCTTTCAATCAACGCTTACATCTATATCAGGAAGATTAGAGCTATGTTCCTGCTCTTCCAGCAGTTGTGTGTGGAATACGGTTAATCTTGGTGGAATCATCAGCCTATGGTCATGGAAGAATGTTCAAGTAGCATGTAGACAGCTTGGAAGAGATACTGGAGGCTCACAGCTCACAGGTTTAGGAAACCCAATTGTACACTACACCTCACTGTAAGCAAAAATAAATAAAATGTAATTAAAATATCTCCCAAATTAGTCCTTCAAGAGCCATAGCTCCTAGTTCGGTACCAATTTATGATTTTACTTTCGAGTGTGATGGAACTGAGTCCAATCTCACAGACTGTCTAAGAACACCAGTATCTATTGTACTGGAGAGCCATTTCTTTGATGTATTTATGACATGTTCTAATAGTAAGCATATTAGGATTACTGAGTATAAGGAGCTTATCATGTTTTCTATAGTTGTTTCTTCTGGTAGTATCAAGTTAACAGGGAGCAGAGAAGATCACCAAGGTGTAGTCGAAGTTTATCAAAGCAATAGCAACCAATGGGAGACTGTTTGTGCTGATGGTGTTAGTAGAAGAGAAGCAAGAGTTATCTGTTTGTCTCTTGGATATGAAAATGGAAACGTTACATCAACACCAAGGAGTTTGTAAGGAGAATTAAACAAAAAAATTATTAGTAAAATTGTAAATAATTTTTCAGTCAAGGCAGTGATATCAATGATACTCCTGGGATAGCTAAGATACAATGTATGGACTCTGACACTGATATTAGTCAGTGTGCATTGACACAAGTTACAGCACAAAACACTGATTGCAGTATTGCTGCTGTTGCCTGTACACCAAGCAGTAAGTATATGGCATGTTAATAATTATTATAAAATATATTCTTGTGTGTAGCTGCTGCTATAGGAACTATAAGATTATCTCCAATCTCTACTTCAAGCACGTATCAACGAGTTGAGATGTTGAATGCTGGTCGGTGGGGAACAATATGTAATAGCAGCTGGAGTATTGAGGACGGAAGAGTTGTGTGCAGGAGCTTGGGTGTGACTGATAGCAACAAAGTGAAAGTACCAACTTCATTGAGGTAGGTGTGTTCTTAGGCTATGCTGTTTCTTTATGGTATATCTGTTCTATGTGTTCATGCTTTTATTTCCTTATTAAATTTAAATAGAAGCCAAAATATGTCATGATAATTTTATTGTGCAGGTCTCCGGAATCTTTGAAACCAATATGGGCTTCTGGCTACATGTGCAGTGGCTCTGAATCAAGACTATTTTCCTGTCACATTTCTTTTTCGTACGGCTATGCACCAGATTGTGATCACTCAAGTGATGCTACACTAACTTGTAATAGTAAGAATTCTCTGTTCCAAGTATAAAAGTATTTGGCAACTTATTTTATAGATACTGCAGCTGTGCCTGGTGGAGGCTGGCCGCCTGAAGTTATTTCTGCAGTTGCATTCAGTGTAGTATCAGTATTACTTGTAGTGATTCCATTGGTGTATTGCATAAGTACAGATATATGGAAGAAATTAAGGAAGAGGAATCGTGGAGGAGCTATCGAAAGGCAAGAAAATGAGTCAGAAAACAACAGGGAAATATCAGTAAGTCGTGCAATCAAAAGTAAAATTTTTTAGAAATTGCTCCAAAATCAGGCCAAAATCCCTGTACTATAGTACAGGGATTTTTGGCCAAATTTTGCCAAAAATGAAAAGTAGAAAATTCTCATATTTTATGATGCTTTCTGATATATATACATGTACTTATGTTGCGTACAAAGTTTGAGCTGATTTCGATCAAGTTTGGATTTTTTACAAATTTTTAAAGTTGTTCCAAAATTAGGCCAAAGTCCCTGTACTATAGTACAGGGTCATTAGCCAAATTTCGCCAAATATGACTAGGAGAGAATTCTCCATTTTTATTACATTTTCTGATACATATACATGTACTTATGTTGCATAGAAAGCTTGAGCTGATTTCGATCAAGTTTGGATTTTTTACGAATTTTTAAATATGCTCCGAAATCAGGCCAAAGTCCCTGTACTATAGTACAGGGTCATCGGCCAAATTTTGCCAAAAATGACTATGAGAGAATTCTCCATTTTTATTACATTTTCTGATACATATACATGTACTTATGTTGTGTAGAAAGTTTGAGCTGATTCCAATCAAGTTTGGATTTTTTACGAATTTTTAAAGTTGCTCCAAAATCAGGCCAAAGTCCCTGTACTATAGTACAGGGACTGGTCAAATTTCACCAAAAATAAAAAGCAGTGAATTCTCAATTTTTATGACATTTTCTGATACATGTACATGTACTTATGTTGCGTAGAAAGTTTGAGCTGATTCCAATTAAAATTAAATTATTTATAAATTTTTTAAAATCACTCAGTCCATCTTGATGATAACACATCTTTTTTTCACATTTCACTACATAGGAACAAAACAGAGCTAGCAGTAATGGTGAATCATCAGATATAAAGAGTAGTCGAGCTCCTCCACCAACTTATGATGAATCTCTTTTATTACAGCAACTACCTCCTAGTTATGAAGAATCAGAGGAAACACAATGTCAGTTTTTTGAAGCAGCTGCAGTGACTTCTATTCCTCCCGCTCTCCCGAATGAAGAACCACCGTCTTATTCATAATGATATATAAAAACTTTATTATTGATTAATATTTACTTTTATTCTAGGCATATAATGTATAATGATAGTTTTACACACAGCTCCAGTCAAACTATTATTATCTTTCATAAATGTATAAGATAAAATATATTATTGTTTCATTTTTTTAACTCAAAAATGTTCATCATCTGTTTTAATCTATTAATTTAATTTATTATTCATGGTCTGAGGTCATTTCCTGTTGCTGACATTTCATTATTATTGGCTGACTGTCAGTGACTGAGTGACTGAGTGACTGAGTGACTGGCTGTTTCTCTCGATTCTCCTTTCTCCTTCTTAAAAGTTTGCTCCTACTTTACTTTCTCCAGCTGAGCAGCTAATTGACCAGAACATCACCACAAGGCGGCAATCTTGGTTTGCTGTACCATACAAGCTACAACTTGCTTGTACAAAGTGAGGGGGTTGTTGTAGAAGCGGTGTGTGTCCGAAGCGGTGCCTTGCCCTTGCTTGTCCTTGGGAGTTGTTTGGCTTGTAGGCTGTGATATATGTACAAGCTATGGCTGCCTCTTTTACCATTATTGTATCTGTTTCTGTCATGCACGGTTTTAAAAAGCATTATATGTAACCCAGCAGTAAGGGCATCATTCTGAGGATCATTCTTTAATCACTATGGAAGATGCACACCCAAATGTTTATTTTTACTTCATTTTAGTTTAGTTTTGTAAATTGCCATCTCTGTGCAGCATTAAGCGCATACTATGCTCAATGAAAGGCCTAAGGGTTTAGATAGATTGAAGGGCTCAGACATTGTGTTAGTATGTCCTAATAGTTCATTCCTGTCTCCTTTGAACCTTAGATCACAACTTCAATTTCCTCCAACACTGTTGAGTGCAAACACTTGCAGCAACTGATAATGAAGTGTTGTAACATTAACTTTCTTCTTTTTTTGTTCTTTCTTACTAAAGGGACCAGTGGTAAGTCACGCATTTGCACTTCTCTGTTTTATAAGTCTTGAGTTTATATGTATTTCTTCTTTCTTTCTTAGGTCAGAATACTTGTACTATTGCACTAAACAGCACACTACGTCTCAATTTAAAAGATCCATCATTGCCCTCCTACAATTCGGAAACAGGACGTCTTGAATTATGTTCCTGTCCAGACTCAAGCAGCTGTTCTTGGAATACGTTGATAGCCAGCATCAGTAACGGCTGGTCATGGAAGAACGTACAAGTAGCTTGTCGTCAGTTGGCAAGGGACACTGGCTCATCTTACGTTGGACTAGGAAATCCTGTCTTTCAAACAACGTAAGTCTACTAATAGCACCTGTACTATGTTACTAAAAATAGACATTTGATCTTGGTTGTGTGCATAGTGCATGTTACTAAAAATAGGATTATTATATTATGTGCTCTTTTTGCTAAAAATAGATCTTGTTACTTATTATGATTTTGCTGTAGGGCACCGAATGAGACTTTACTGTATCCTTCATCCTTTGCATGTGATGGGACTGAGACTAATCTTACTGACTGTATTGCTAGTCCAAGAGGAGATCTAACCAATGACAGCACTGCCGCTTACATTACTTGTTTAAAGAGTAAGGACTTTGTATTGTAACTAGTTGCATTACATGTACTTGAATGAGAGAAAGAAGCAAATTATATTTAGCTAATAAATATTAAAATGGCTACTATTGTTTTAAATTGGAAATTTATTATTTTTAACTGTAAATTAATAATAATGATTATTAATACTATTATTATTATTTTATTACCCTAAAGCTGTCTCCACTGGTCACTTAAGATTGACAGGATCAGCCACACAGCATCAAGGAGTACTAGAGATGTACCTTCGTCACACTGACAGGTGGGAGACCATTTGCTCCGATAACTTTGACAATACTGAAGCTGTGGTTGCTTGTAAAACTCTCGGATACGGCACAGGAAGGGTCTCTCATATTTCTAGTTCAACCACATTGTAAGCTTTCGTTTTTAAAGCCATGATTTAATATATTATATTTTTATTCAGTCGGGGTAGTGAGATTAATACAGATACAGCTGTCTACAGTGTGAGCTGTGGCGGGTCTGAGAGAGACCTTGACAGCTGCTTTGTGGCACTCAGTGGGAGTACAGCCTGTTCTTCCAATAGACCAGCCTATGTGGTATGCACACCAAATGGTATGTGACGCTAACCTTAATCTTAATTTTATTGCTAGAAAAAGTTCATATTATATACAATTTCTTCTATTAATTTTTTGTTCTTTTATTTCCATTTTATCACAGCTACCAGTCCAGGTAGTACACGTCTGTTCACTCTACAAACATTCAACGATTTCAAACGAGTTGAGATACTCTACGCCGGTAGGTGGGGCACTGTCTGTAATACTGAGTGGGACATTACCGATGCTAAGATCACCTGCAACACTGTTCGGCAGAGTTCTGAAGATGCACAAGTACCAACAAAATTTGAGTAAGTACAAGTTCACTTTAATCATGTAAAAGAATGCTAGTAAATCTAAGTGTGGGTTCTAAAAATGTTATATATTACAGTGGTGCCTATTTTAAATAATGATAATTACTATGCATGAAAATCAAAGTGGCGCCTATGTTAAAATTGCATTTATAAGCATTATATTATATTATTTCTGTTAATTTTTAGTTCAATTGTTGCTTCACAGCGGCCATTGTGGGCATCTGGCTTTATGTGTAATGGTACTGAGTCTAACCTGGTCCAGTGTACTATCAGCAATCCGATTGGTTACACTCCTAATTGTAATCATATCAATGATGTTGGAATATACTGTGGTATGTTAATCATGTTCACGTTTTTATTACATTTTTTATACATTTTGATCTTTGAGCTGATTTTGACTAAATTTTTTAAAGTTATGAGCATTTTTCAGAATGAGCCAATTTTTGAAGAATACCCAAGGCTATAGCCCATGGTTTTTCCAAAAAAATGGCTCCAAAATCACCTCAATTTTTAATTACATTTTCTGATACATATTGATGTCCTTATGCTATGTAAAAAGTTTGAGTTGATTCCGATAAAAAATTTTCGAGTTATGACCATTTCTAAAAATGGGCCAATTTTTGAAAAATACCCAAGGCTATAGCCCATGGTTTTTTCCAAAAAATGACTCCGAAATTACCCCAAATTTTTATTACATTTTCTGATGCATATTGATGTCCTTATGCTATGTAGAAAGTTTGAGGTGATTCCGACAAAAAATTTTTGAGTTATGACCATTTTTAAAAACGGGCCAATTTTTGAAAAATACCCAAGGCTATAGCCCATGGTTTTTTCCAAAAAATGACTCCAAAATCACCCCCAAATTTTTATTACATTTTCTGATGCATATTGATGTCCTTATGCTATGTAGAAAGTTTGAAGTGATTCCAACAAAAAATTTTCAAGTTATGACCATTTAAAAAAACGGGCCAGTTTTTGAAAAATACCCAAGGCTATAGCCCATGGTTTTTTCCAAAAAATGGCTCCAAAATCACCCCAGATTTTTATTACATTTTTTGATACATATTGATGTCCTTATGCTATGTAGAAAGTTTGAGGTGATTCCGACAAAAAATTTTTGAGTTATGGCCATTTTAAAAAACGGGCCAATTTTTGAAAAATACCCAAGGCTATAGCCCATGGTTTTTTCCGAAAAATGGCTCCAAAATCACCCCAAATTTTTATTACATTTTCTGATACATATTGATGTACTTATGCTGTGTAGAAAGTTTGAGGTGATTCCGACAAAGAATTTTCGAGTTATGACCATTTTAAAAAATACTTTTTTGGTTCCATAAATGAATTTTCTGATGCATATACTTATATTGTATTTTCTGCTCTCTTTCTTCAGGAGAGGAAGATGAAAGTGGTGGTCTTTCTGGTGGTGCCATAGCTGGTATTGTGATTGGTTGTGTTGTATTCTGTTGCTGTTGCTGCATAATATCAGGCATTGGTATTGTCATATGCTGTGATAAGACTGGCTATGAAGATTGCGACTACAGCTGCTGCACTAGTTGTTGCCGCTCATCTCATAGGCGTCGTTCGTTTAGCTATAATCGAGCACATGATGATAGAGCTGAAGTTAGATTGGAAACATTTTCTGAGCCCACTGATGATGACATTGATGACAAGGAAGAAGTAAGTGTTAAATTACATTATCATTGATATTTATGATCTTTAATTGCAGCTTACCACCAAGATTTATTAATTTATTTAAATAGATACCAAATGAAGAACCGAGGGAAGATACTGAGCTCTCCAAAGCTCCTCCCCCATCTTACAATGATGCTCTGACAATGGAGGCAGCTGCAGCAGAAGCTTCTGCCCTCCCTCCTGATTATACAAAAGAAGAAGAACCAAAGGATGAAGAACTAAAGGATGAAGAACCAAAGGATGAAGGAGAAGGCACTAATGATGATAACGAAGAAGGTGAAGCAGCTAATCCTTTACCTTATCCACTCATTACTTCCGATCCTGCTTATCCTCCTATACTGAATTCCTACTCTACCGACATTTAAAATAACAAAAATGTAATTTTTATTTTGTATTTAGTTGGATAATTTTTAGTTGTTGTTTTTGCTCTTGATTGTATATTTGATTTAAAATAAATTCTTAAATAAGGCGTGGCTAGTTATTAATTAGGGGTGGGACTAGTTACAGTAACTTGTGATTGAGCTTCTGCTTTAGGTAAAATATTTTTTCTCTATTGTTTTAAATTTTAAAGTGAAATTTTCCATCATAGTTTATGTATGACTGCATATTCTGGCTTCATATTATGGTAAGTAATTACTGTAACTGTAGTAATAATATGAATAGTTGCATGCTCTGTAAAGAAAATTTATGCCACAGATCTGTCAAAATTTTATTCCAAAAAATTAAGCGAAAAGTAATACACTATAACAAGAAACACTCATTTATTAATTATCAATTAATTAATTGGTCTATTGTCGTAATTATCAGAAGCCATATGAAACAACAGCGACTCTCTCCTGTTGGTATCCACTACTGACCTGGTCACATGATCTTTATTAACGACATCATTCTCATTTGAAATTAATGCCTCACTCATTGTGGATTCTCTTAATCTTTTTGGTTCTTTAATTTTACGCCACAATTTGAGTAAGACCTTGCTATTTTTTTGATACACATGGTAACTGATGATGCCAATAAAAGTGACAAAAGCAAGTGTCGTAATGACTATACCTCCAATGTACCCATAGCTGTTGTTCGCAATAGTTGAATGAAGCACTATCAGCAGTAGGAACCATATCTCTAGTATATTGAGGAACTGATGCTGATACATTCCACCAACACTTGCTTCCACTGCAATGAGAACTGCTGAAAGAGAAATGGTCAAAGTAAAAGTATTGCTTTGATTGGAAAAGGATATTCCCAAGAGGACAATTCGAGCTAGCAGGAGAACCCCAACCCACCAGCGATAAGAGTCCTTTAGTGGACCAAAGTAAGCATCAAAGAATGGCTTTAGCTGAGAACAGAATTTGCAGCAGGTGAAACGAGAGAGTTTCCCTCCAATTAGTGGATTTAGGAGGATTAAGAGAACATATGGAAACACTAGACACGATAGGACCAGGAGGGCAAACAGGAAGAGGATCGAGTGAAGTTTTGAGAAATAAGCCAAGTTAGGATCAAGACTCCAGTGATAGCTGATGTTAAGACCACATTTGATGACGACCAGGTCCAGTATTAGCAGTATGGTACTGATGAGTTTAGTGTAAGAGAGAAGTAAAAGTGTAGCTAGTACTGGGACTACATTGGAGCCTATGAGCTTTGAGAGTCTATTTGAGAAGTGGCAAGCACAGATGATGGCACCAATGATTGTCCATATGTAGAAAGGAAAGGCAAACTGCAGCCACATGTTTGAATATGTGTCCATTCCATCAAAAAAACAGGCACTTATGCCCAAATCAAGATTGAGCCATGAAATAAATTGGCTGAGAATCGGAATGGGGCCATCAGGGAAGAGATAGGTCTCGTTTATTTTAATAATATTAGCATAAAACACGAGCCCATTGATAGTACCTACAGATACTGTGAGGTTTAAAGCTAAGAGTAGGATAACAAGAGCAATACCAGCAGCTGCAAAAGGAATAATAAGAGACAGATAATCATTAGTACATTTTCCACATTGGCTGTAGCCTAGCATGAGACTAAGGCCTTTGTCACATCCTCCACACAGCAGACCCGATCTATTATTAACACACTGGGCATTTGGTGAGCTTATGTTAAAAGCAATTCTTGAGTTGTTGCAATAATTAAAGGGACAATCGTTGTATATTATAATACACTCCTCACTCTCTTGATATCCAATCCATTGATTGCCAGTTCGCTCCAGAGTGTTAGTCGATATATTGCATGTAACTGAGTCTTGCTCTAATTCTGTTGAACAGATACACACTCCTGTGTCTAGTGAGAGAGAGAAGCCAGGAGGACATGGAAGTACTGTAATGACGACAGCTAATATTTGTAAAGGAGGCACTAGAGGCTGCTGTGTATCAATGATACCAACAGATACAGTAACATTAGTGGGATCATTAGTATCATTGAAGAGTAACACAGTGTGGTTTATATTGGAGCAGTTTGATGGTGTCTCAATGACATATCTTTGTGTATCGACGGATGAAGATATTGATATTAGACCCTGAGTTAGTCCTTGTGTTTGTCCAACTGCAACTAGTGCTACGTTAATGTCATCTCCGGGATAAGCTTCAAAGGATTTATACTTAACTTGATTTGTGCAGTTAGGCAAACCATTGTCGCAGAAACAAAGAGAAACGGCATCAGAAGATATCACAGATAATCCGTCTTGTTCATTTATGTTGATAACCTCATATAACTGAGATGATGGTATGTTAGGTACGGAGGTCGAGAGAAGGTTCTGACATTCTTCTAGTATCCCACCATATATAGCAGACCCTGCAATACCAGCTGTATTGTTAACGAATGATATTTGTGAAGCAGGGAGTGTCATAGAAGTCAAATATGCTATTTGTATCCGACAAACTTCAAGAAATGGTGACCTTGACTTTATATAAATACCGCCTCCAATTTCTCTGGCTCGATTATTATAAAAACTCATGTACGTCCCATTATTAATGACCATAATAGAGTTACCATATAAGGCCATCCCAGCTCCTTCATTTGCAGTGTTACTGTGGATGAGTATTGATCCATCAAACATCACCAGTGAATTGTACAGCAGAAGACCAGTGTCATTATTACCAAATACTACCAAATCCCTTACATTAGCTATTCTTATGCCGTACAGAAACATTGCACAAGATGGTCCAGAATTAACTAATATATTCCTGCTGATATTTAAGTTAACGAGAGAGAAAGAGAGCGGATTATTAGAAGATGATAGCTCCACTTGTGTAATGTACAAGCCGCTCCCAGCATAACCAATGTTATCATAAAAATGACAAGAGTGAATGTATATTTCTTGAGCCACCACAACAAAGTCACTTGGCTGTGTCTGTACAATTAGTCCAGCACCAAATACTGCAACGTTTTTATAAAAAACACTATTTCGTATCTCTAATGGTCTCGTTACTTGCGTGGGCGGTGGATAATCACAAGGACATGTTCCTCTTAGTACTGAATCATACGAGATTGATATTGCCATTCCACCTCCTATTCCTCCATAGGACTCCACAGAATCAACCAGGATTGAATAATACTCTATATTTGAAGTATGTATCAAAATGTTTCCTCCAATTTGCCCATTGTTATTGTACGACTTCACTCTAATGAGCTCCACGTCGACCCTGTAAGTACAGTCATGATCGATGAGGATTGTTAGTCCTGAGCCAAAATCAGCTCCTACTCCAAAGCTAAAGTTGGAGTCTGATACAATGAGCTGATAGATTTGAGATTCACTTGTAGTCAAGCACTTCCTTGGATTAGTGTAATATATAAAAGCATTCCCATTGACTTTATTGTTAGTAATAGAAGAGTCCTGTATTGATGCATTAAACCCATTAAGTAGTAGCAGGCCAAGACCAGTGTTGTTTTGGATGGAGCAGTCTCTTATTGAGATGACGTATGTTTCAATTATTATCAAGGCTGCAGGTTTTAATTCCTGCCCACCAAAGCCAAGAATATTAATGTACTCGTTGCTACCGCAGTCTGTAATAGCGATACCATGTATGCTAATGTTAGTGGAATCATATATGAACAATGAGACATTTAGTTTACTGCACGTTATCCTTACAGCAGCAGTCCCTACATCATTCACTGTCTCTCCTTCTCCTATTAGGCTAAGACCACTGACTCCACTGATTACAAGTGACTGGTGTAGAGTATGGACTCCACTGGAGAAGAAGAATGTAGTTCCATTGGTAAAGAAACTGGTGCTATCTTGTGTATAAAAGGAAAGATTGTGGCACTCTAAAGATGAAGGTATAGAGCAGTTAGGAGACACAAGATACTCTTGTTGAGAAGTAGCAGAGCTTAGGATGAGAGCAAAAAGGAATCCTTTTAATATCTGAAATTGGTAAGCCATTAGATAAATGATAGAGATAGAAAGAGAGCTTATCTTACCATGATAACAGTAATCTTGAGCTTCTGCAATTTGCAAGTCTAGACTGTCAGTCATATGATGATATAATCTTAATGAATATCGTTAATTTTAAAATTATTGAAAGGTATTGGGCTAAAACATTTACGCAGCAATAATAATTAGACTTCAAACATAAGTGCTACAATATTAATAAATATGTTATTTAATCATTGTGTTAGTTACTGAGTATATTTGTTAGTGAAAACAGCCTCAAACGTTGAATCGCGTGATTTGTGTGAGCGTACGATGGCTTCTTGCTGAAAATCACTAGTCAGCAGCGTCTCTCTTCTATTCAACTCAATACTAGTGACACTAACCGTCCTATCACGTGTGTCAGAGTCAAGTTTATTCACTGCATCTATTCTTTTCCCATTTCTCTTCTCCTTGTAGTACTCCCTCAGCTTTGAATCCAGTTTTTGTCCTCTGGTAGTCTCCAGGACTTTTATTGCAGTGTGGTACATTATGATTCCAACAAATGTGATCAGCATTAAGCTTATCCCAATACTTGTTATAATAGTCGTCGTAGTTCCTCTGTTTCCGAAAACAATAATAAACGCAAGGTTAAGCAAGCACCAGAGTTCTAATATATCGAGTGCCTTCTTCTTGTATACTCCACCAAAAGCAGCTTGGAGGACGATTAGTACGCACAGCATTGTCATCATGGCTGGCGAATGTGTGTCAAGTTTTGAGAATGATACAACAAAGACACTAATGAAGCGAATGAGTAGCAATAGCCCTGTCCAAAATGTGTAAGGTGCCTTGTAAGGAGAATTGTATGTCTCAAAAGCAAGTCTTATGGACAGTCGCTGCTGATGGCAACCACACTTGTGACATTTGTCAGCATTGAGTGCAAGCCCAATGCTGTAATTGAATAACAGTATTAATGTGTATGGTAGGGCAAACCCAAAGAGGAATATGCTAACAATAATAACAAGGAGAACGTGACTTGGGTCATTGTAATTAACATTGGGGTCGTTGTACCATACCCAGGTTGAAATTGAGCCACATCTCAGCTGTGTACCATTGAGGACATCAATACTCGCTATGAATATTTTAGTATACGAGAGTAAGAGAAGTGTGGATAATACAGGAACTGCATTGTTCCCGAGCAGATTAGCAACTCTTTTGAAATACTTGGCTAGTATGATGAGAGTGATGACTAGAATCCATATATAGACAGGAAAGACAAACTGGAGCCAAGCCCTGTCTAATGCCGTCATACCATTGAAGAAGCATATCTCAATACCAAAGTCCAAGTTGATCCAAGCTATGAACTGGCTCAGCACTGGTATGGGGCCATTTGGAAATAGAATGATGGAATTAGTCGTAACAATGTTTGCATAGAACACAATTCCATTAATAGTACCAACTGAGACAGTTAAATTCAGTACCACTAGCAATGCAATTATACCAATGCCTGCTAGTGCAAACAGGATTATTAGAGCCAGGTAGCCATTAGAGCAGTCCCCACATTGATCTGTACCTAGTTTAAGACTCAGCCCTTCGGCACAGCCACCACACATGATCCCCGACCTATTGAGAGCGCACTGTGGATCTGGATCTAGGATGTTGAATGTAACGTTACTATCAATGCAGTAACTGTACGGACAATTCTCTTGTATATAAGTGCATTTGCTGTCATTGTTATAGCCCATCCATACCCCTCCATTTCTAGTCATGGACTGTCTAGTTACGTTACATTCAACTTGTCTAACTCCAAGCAGAATCGCTTCACACTGGCACCAACCTTGGAGTCTATCAAACAAAAAACCGGGCGGACAGGGTTCTAAGGAAACCTCGACGAGTTTATTATTTGTGGCATTGACTAGGTTTTCTACTCCTTCTCTTGCGAGGTAGAGCTTTGCATTCACTTGCTCACTGCTATCAACTTGTATTCTGTATTTTACGTCATTGCAGCTTGGACTGAGGGAGTAGTTGGTTATAGTGGGGGTTGGCAGTGTGTAATCTGTCAGTTGTAAGACACCTAGTGTTATACCATTCTTTTGTCCAACAGCTGCTACTGGTATTGTGAAAATTTGACCTGCTACAGTTGTTAGCGTGTACCTAGAACTGAGGCAGTCTAATTCATCATTGATGCAATAGCAGAAACCAACCACATCAGACGATACTACAGAGTTCCCAGTTTGAGTTTGGTAATTAAAGGCTCGTGTAAATCTAATATTAGATGAACAGTTTTCCACATTTCCACCATACAGTACAGATCCAGATGCACCAGCTCTGTTACCATCAAAAAACAGCTGAAGAGTCTCATTATTGTACGAGTAATCATCATTTGGTAACTGGTAGAAACAAGTTGTCTGTATGTTCTTAGCAGTGTAGGTTAATTGACCTACAAATATCCCTCCACCTTTATTCTCAGCCCAATTATTCAAGAAACTGATGTACACTGGCGGCTTAAGGATTATGTAGGACGATTCGTAGAGTGCTAGAGCTCCCCCGTTGATACCAGAGTTGTTCCTGTAGACGTTAGCGCTTCCTGTGAATCTCAGTATTGATCCCAAGGCAACCATTCCTGTACCCTGATTATTAGAAATGATCAGTCCACTGATACTGATATCCAAGTTTTGAAGGAGGGTTGTTCCAACTAGTGGCTCGTTGAAATTTATCAAACTGTTTTTATTAACGGTCAAGTTTGTTATTGTCATGACTGCTAGTACTGGGCTGGAGTCAAAACTACGAGAGGTGAAGACGTTCAGAGCAGACCCAATGTTACCCGTATTGTTATAAATCAGGCAGTTCTCTATTCTCACCCTTAGCAAAGGAGTAAAGGAGTTTATCCTTATCCCTCCATAATTAGAAACAGTATTGTGAGAGAACTCTGAGTTTAATATGCTCAGGTATGACTGAGAGTGATTACGAGATTCATCCATCAGAAAAAACCCTCCAGAATTAATTTGAGTGATGTCCAGTTTATTACTCGGGAGAGAATTGATTGCATTTCCATAAACACTGACCGTGTTATTGATAATAATGTTATAATTTATACCAGCACTGCACAGAAAATGATAGTATAAATTAGGTGAGAGAATCGCAGTGTTACCATGTAGCATTAACCCATCTAATATAACATTTAAATTTATGTATGAGACATCAGATGATATGTCTATGCCAAGACCTCCTGTGATGTATAATTCAGTCGAATATCCAAACGAGAAGTTACTGTTCAATATATTAATGTTTATTTGTGTGAAATTATTAGTCGATTCTGTGTCAAAGTACTGCATGAGTAAGTTTCCTCCTGGACAAAGGATGGCTTGAGTACAAGGTGGTATGACATTCTGAGAGAATGAGCTATCCTTGATCTCAATATCCAGTGTGTTTTGTAATAGAAGACCCATTCCCGTTCCATTCAAAATCGAGACTCGTTCCAAACTGACGTTAATACTTGATATGAAGTTCATCGTAGTATAAGTCTCTGATGACAGGAAGTTCACTGTGTCGTTAAAAGGTGCTCCGCAATCAACAAAAGATATGCCACTGATGGTAATGTAATCTGTGTTTTGAAAAGATAGGCCACTAGTTGTGTTGTTAGTACATCTTATCTGTACAGTGGACTGTGTGACAGTTTCATGAAAACCAGTTTCTATATCACCTAATCCCTTTAGTGTTAGATTACTGATTTCTTTTATGGTCAGTAATCCATCCAAACTGTGTTCTCCTGGTAGAAAATAGAGTATGGTGTCATCAGTAAAGTAAAGCTCAAACTGGTTTGTGTAGTAGGAGAGGGTATAGCACATTACTCCTCCAGTAGCAGAGGGACAGTAATCTCCATCTCTTGCTATGATATAGTATTCATCAGTGGAAACAAGGAGAGGGAGAGAAAGGAGAACAATAAGTAGGACATTAGTAGACATCTTCAGCTCCTCTGGATTACTGCATCAGTGGCAGCAGAGATAGAGTTAAGGCTGATTTACACTGCACAGATTATATCATAGATTATCTCTACTCGCCATTGGTTTATACAGCACTTCCTGTCGTACCGTATAACATTAATTGTGCAGTGTAAATCAGCCTTTATGCAAACTTATAGTATTGACACTTCATAATGACACTTACTGTATCACTTACTGACACTTGCTGTACCTATTATTGACAGTTATTGGCACTTGGATTGGCTGTAGTAGTATCAGTTCTTATTCAATTATCAGTGCTACATGATTCTGTGATCACTTCTCATGCATTGTCTGATGCATAATGCATAAATTATACTCTATATTGCATATCAATTTTGAACTGATTTTTATCAAATTTGGATTTTTTATGAATTTTAAAATTTACTTTAAAATCGATAAAACATGGGCTAAAAATGGCTAAGAAAAATTTCTCCATTTTTATAATTTTTTTCTGATGCACATACATGTTCTTATGTTGTGTAGAAAGTTTGAGCTGATTCCAATCAAGGTTGAATTTTTTACAAATTTTAAAAGTTGCTTCAAAATTCGGCAAGTAGGTATTTTTGTTATAATGGTCACATGACCTGACTAGACTTGTATAAAATTAATGGCCCCCTAATTTTTATTATATTTTCTGATACATATTGATGACGTACACACAGTGAGGGACTTTTTCTTGCACTGATAATCATTGATTTCTTTATTCCTTTAAGTGTATGACTGTGTCTGTGTACAAGGTGTTGAGTGTGTATAGTTTATTGTGACAGTGTTTAGTTAACTATTGTGTTCAATGCTTGTCAGATGAGCTGATAATATTGCTGAGTGTTACTGTCAACTAAGTGACTATAGTAGATCTGGACACAAATCATCAGAGAAGACTCAACAGTACAGAGCAATATGAGTGGAAATAAAGAAGTGAGAAAGAAACTTCCTCTTCTCTTTTATATAGAATATCATCTCTCCCTCTTTCTCAATGTAGATTCATGAAGCTTTCTTTAGTAGTATAATCATATTCTCTATTTTGTCTCTGGTACTTCTAGTAGCTTTGTTGCTAGGATTTGGCTATTGTCTGTATAAAGTCTGCTTCAGTAGAACTAATACTGACCCTTCAATTTCTGATGAGATTGAGAGATCTGACAGTTTTATAAACTGGAAGTATGATCAGCGTAATCAGCCACTGATGAATCACGCATGCCAGATTCAACACCAAGGATCCATACATGATTTGGATGCTGTCCAGCCAAGAAGTATCAATTATGGATCTTCTAGTTATTATGGATTGAGTTCAAGTTCGGCAGCATCATCTCCACTCTCTAAGCAAAGCCTACGTACATTTCTTCATGGATCCAGGACTTAAGCATGCCCACTTCTATTTCTAATCCTTACAAACAAAATATAATACAATATTCTATTATGACTGTAATTTTCTTATCACATAAGTTGTAAATAAGATCTTAACAATGAGTACTACTGCACTAGTATGGCATCCCCACATGCATGACTCATGATCTATCATGCATGTCAGGTTGCATCCATAAATGGGATGACATAATGAGTGATAGTAACAATGATATAGTAGATATACTCACATCACATGATCTCTGGTTTATAGACACTCTTTCCTGTTGATTTGGCTGGAGATGTTATGAGAAACAAGGAAACAGTGACTACTGAAAATAGGAGCAGTTAGATCTATAGTGTCCTGAGTACCAGTAGTCAGCTAATCATGGTAACTATATATACAATGTATCTACTAGTAATAGAATTGTATATATGTGCTTGTATTAACAGGTGGTAGGAGTTACAGTTGATGTTTTAGTGATCATATTCTCTGTCCTTGCATTCCTCTTGCTCCTAGCACTACTGTTCCTTTTTTGTGTGTGCATGTATCGGATGTGTGCTGAGAGATGGCGTAAGAGACAGGAGTATGATCTCACAACTCAATTTGAGGCAGCCCCTCCTACTGAATACCCACCACCTGAGTATCATAACCTGTCGCTAAGCACTGGACTGGTATCAACCAATCAGCAAGCAGCGTCAAGGAACAGAGGGTCTAACTATAGGAGCATGTCACAGGCCGAAAGGGCCTCAGATGCTACCAGAAACAGAAACAATGACATGGCAAGGGAGACTCTTCTTAGCGATGTGTCAAATGATGCCGGTGATCAGTCTGATAACGAAGATACATGATCTCTAAACTGATACTTATTGTGATGAATAATAATAATACGTTAATAGTCAACTCATTGAATGTAACCTGCACTTCTACATAATGTACATGTATGTGTGTTTAATAAAAATAATAATAATAATACAAGAATTAATTTTATTGTAGTATATATATATATATAGGCTCTGTTAATGAACACTCAAAATCCAAACACGAAAACACGACAAATTGTTTAATGTAAGGAATGATGATAAGAATACTCCTCCAGTACAGTGTGTAGCAACAGCTTCTGATCTGATGTTAATAATGGCCTCAACTTTATACTTATATCCTTCACAGACGAGTAATCCTTTTCATTTACTGCCACCTGGAAACATTTTTGAAAGAGAAAGCAATTAATGTCAGTGTCACCATTATTTAATTACAGGGGCTGCCCCACTTACTGTCAATGCATGGAGCAATAGTCTTTTATCATTTAAGTCGTCTAGTGAGGGAAGTTTAGAGTAGCTGTCCCAAACAGCTGCTAATTGTGCTGATAAGTGTCTTCTGTTTGGCTACGCAAACACTTTGATATGCTGTATAATGTAATAATAACTAACTTTCAATAATAATAGTATTAATAATTGTGAGATGCTACAGGAGTTTATCAGCTGTTCGTAAGGGCCATCCTTTCCATTTGATTCTGATACTATTTGAGAAAGTATTCCTAAAGCAGAGCTGTAATCACCTAAAACGAATACAAATACATAATGTTGTTATGCAGAGAATTTATCTCTCTCTCTCTCTCTTCCCTTCTCTCTCTCTCTCTCTTCCCTTCTCTCTCTCTCTCTCTTCCCTCCTCCCTCTCTCTCTCTCTTCCTCTCTCTCTCTTACGCAGTTGAAGTCTGCAGCTGACGAGTTTCCCCAAAGTATCGATCCTCCAGTCAATGGTTTGCGATTGAAGGTCCACTGCCCGCTGGAGGAAAATGGCCGCCTGTGAATACCACTCGCACTTCATTAGCCTCTGACCGGCTTCCAGTGCAAAAGAAGCCGCCAAAAGGTTGTCCCCTTGAACCTCTAAGACCTGCAGATAATTAGAATAATTATGGTATTATTTATACCCTCTATAATAAGGACACATTTTTATACCCTCTATAATAAGGACACATTTATAATAAGGACACCTTTATAATGAGGAGACCTTTATATCAAAGTAATGTGCCTAATGGTGTCCTTAATAAAGAGGTCACAGCTTACATGAACTGCTAGTAGAAATGAGTGTATCCCAGCCTCAAGCATGTCATTATAGCTGACATTCCTGGCTGCCATCAGCTTCTCCTCCGCTAGTATGAACTGTCTACCAGCGTTAGCCCATGACTCCGCCTCACTGCCACTGTCAGCAGTCAACTGGTCACACCTGGAACAAGAGAGGGAGAAAGAACAACCATTAAAATTATTATTATGATAAATTATTGTTGTAATTATGTTGTGTTAAGTACTTTGCCATTGCCATGAAGCAGAGAGCAGCGTATTCATTGTTTTCTTCATTTTTGAGTGAATTTGCTAGTTTCCCTATACACAGAGTACATTAATGATAATAATAATAATAACAATACCATATTCTACACTAGCTGCTTTGACGTTTGGTTTCTTCATAAATCTCCTAAAACATAAACCATGAACTAGTTTATTACTTAAACTTTCCACCAACTTCTTTAGTTTAGCTGCAATCGCTTTATAACTAGCAATAAGTTCCGTCCCTTTCTCGTCAAGCACTCCTTGTTGAGACGCCATTTTAATGTGGCCACACCTACAACTGAAGGGCGTGGTATGGGTGGAGTTTTGGTAGGAAACTAATTCGTTCATTTTTGGAGAGTGTAGCATCTTCTTTCTTTCTCTCTCTCTGTCTCTCTCGGTTGTATTAATAAGGAACACTACTAGCTCTTGTGCTCTTATTGGGTCTTCATTTGATGGCTCTTGATCTAGAAATGGAACGAGGCACTGGGTAAGATAATGAATTATTAATTACATTATGCTCTCCTCCCGTTACCATTAATTAAGATCCCATTATAAGAGATACCTTATATAGTGCATACTAGACGGTTGGTACTCTTACTTGTGCTGTTGGAATGCATGAAATGGTTTTGTACATGTAAATGTATATACTATTATTATGACAGTATTGTAATACTATGATCCATACATTATATGTGTGTTCTGATTGGGTTACGATTAGTTAAATTATAATAAGTATATTAATTAATGAATCAGTGGTTCTCTCTATTCTATCATATCCTTACTCCACTATCTTACCTTCTGTCTAATTGGATTTACTCTTGGCATAGGATCAAATCTTTTACCCCCTCTCTCTCCCCCCTCTCTCTCTCTTCCTTTATTTTGTGTATAAACTGTTCACTGTGTTTATATAGAGAAGGATGTGGTGAAGTTGTCATAATAATAATGATAATAATGATATTAAAAAGTGTTATATGCTGTCCTTTCCACATGTATTGATGATGTTTACTGTATAAATCTATTGATGTCATCATTTTGATTACTCTCTTTCCTCCTTCTTTCTCAAAGGGAGAGAGAGAGAGAGAGAGAGAGAGAGAGAGGGAGAGAGAGAGAGAGAGGGAGAGGGAGTAACATGCAAAGCTCGAGTGATAATGTTTCCATGTTCAATAACAAACTGATTCCACTTGTCACAAAGACAGTCTATTTTGTTCCTCAATTGTTCCTCAATTGTTCTCCTAATGTTGTGCCAATGCTCTCTCATTCTTACCTTCTCTTTTGTAGCTCAACAAAAGAAAGATCTTTCTCTTACTCCAAAGCAACCCCTCTCCTTCCTTCTCTAACCTCGCCACGTGGCTCTGAAAATGGAGGCAGCCATTTTGACAGGGTTAGCTCTCTTTTCCTAATTCCTATAAAACTTGCCATGCCCTCAGCTACCCATGTAGGCGGCAAAGGGTTGTGGCGAGACTACTTATACTTGGTGACTTTTCTATCCTTATCTGTTTCCTTCTCTTAAGTTTGTGTCCATATCTATTTTGTTATGACTTGTGTCTTGTGTTATTTTTTATTTCTCCCACAACGTATGAGATTCTCTGAATACTTAGATAACCACTTACACATACAATGTGCATATTAATAGTAGTTATAATGATAATAATAATAATAATAATAATAATAATAATAATAATAATAATAATAATAAAATTATGCTATATTTTATGTATAAATATTGTGTATAGTTGTATTACACGTAGCTGTATATTAGTTAGCTTATATTGTTTGATGATTAACTTGTTCTTATACTAACCTTTGTTGTTATTTTTGTCTTTGATCCATTTAACACGTTTATGATACACTTCAGTATACTACTCTCAGTATACTCCAGTATATTAATAGTATATTGTTAGTATATGTTAGTTTATTCATCATGCCCTGTTTTCATGTTATTCTTCATAATATCTTTGCAAATAATTTTTCTCTTTTCCTCTTTTTAGAGTTTCATGCGAAAAGGGATAAGCTCTCTTTCCCTTAGGTAAAGGAAATATTATTTTATAAATATTATTTATAATTTTGTTTCAGTGAGAGAGAGTCGAAGAAGAGTCATTTTACCCATAGCCTGGGAGGGGTTCACTATAATGCACCTGTAAGTAAAGATTTTATTATCAAATAAAACTTCTAAATAGAACCAAACTCCTAATTTATGTATTTGAAATGCTGCAATTACAATATACATGTAGCAAGGCTGCAAAAGTTGTGGCAGCCATTTTGAAGTGGGGCGAATCCTACTTCGTAAGTATTTAGGCAGTGCAATTTTGTATCATTAAAACTTTTTATTTTAATTTTATTTATACACATGTACATGTGTCACGTTGGACATTGCCTGACGTGTGCTTTAATTGGAATGCTATTCTTGTCACAATACTGGTGTATAGCTGACACATGAATTGTATTTTAAACTTCCTTAAATATCGTCAAAGTTTATTTAGCCTATGTTTGCACCTCTTTGCTGTGTGCCTGCCAACTATTGATGGACACATTAAGATAGCAATACTCAGAATTATTTTATTTATAAAACATGTACTTATATACAGTATAATCTGTATGTAATATGTACTATACTGTATTTATATATGTGTATTGATGGAATTAGCAGCTCATTCATGCTCTTAAAGCTCTTAATTGTGCTAATATTATTATTGGTTATTCCTGTAATCCTAGATATTAATATTTTTTGATATATTATTATTTATTAATTTTTGTCTTTTGTTATCAAAACTTCTACAGTCACAAAAGCAATCCAGTGTAATGGCAGACGTACTTGTACAGGTTATTTTTGCTCTGTTATGTTTATTTCTCATTTTATAATAATAAATAATAATAATGTCATTTAATTGTTTCCCAAATTTCATTAGCCATTGTCGATAAATTCAGTCGGTCGATCGAAAGTTACTATGGGGATGTCCTCTACCGGCGTTTCCATGGCAACGAGACCCAGCAGACATCCCACAAGTTCGGTGGAAACTCGAGATGTGAGTCTCGTTAGTGGTGGGTGTGGTTGGTTTATTTTTAACCCTTAGAGAAGCGGGACTGTTCCGTCATTGCCTCAAGTGGGAAACGTCAAGGATGGGAAATCACGGGATCAGACCTGGTAATTTAAAAATTATTTATTTTATTATTATTATTATTATTATTATTATTATTATTATTATTATTATTATTAGGGATATTTATGGCGATACAGAGCAACTCCTTCTATCTCCTTATTCCTCAAGGCCCCGCCCCTCTCCCTCTCTCATTCCCAGACTAAAACCCTCCGGCAGCTGTAGGAGATCACCCAGTAAACAGGTGGGTGTGGTCTCAACCACATGTAATTTTAGTGAATTTAGTGAGGGATTTTAAAAAAATAATGGTAAAGTCATGATTATTAGCATCGTCATTATTAATAAAAGTTATTAAAATGTTAAAAGAGCAGATACTTGTACATGTATGTGTTTAATTGTGTTATACAGTCTAAAATGGCTAAAGGCTAAAACGCACACTGTTATAGTTACAGTTACAGTTAGGATTAGGGCAGTCATGATTGAAACTGTACACATGTACATGTACATGTGTACTAGCTTCTACAGAATTAGTTGCGTGTGTGTGTGTGTGTGTCTGTTTCCGTAGTGTATTCAATGTTGTTCCTTATAATAGGAAGATGTCCAAGTATTTATTAAATTATAATTATTGAGGAATTTTAAAGATGACACTTTGACTTTTATGTGCCCGTTAAGCTAGATCTGGGAATTGGTATAAACTAAATATTTTTTATTATTGTGTCTGGTCATAGTAACCACAATGTACTTTTATTGGCTAATGAATATAATTAGTACGACATGTGCATGTATGTGTCATTTTAAGTCCTCAATTGCTATAATGCATGTTATTATTATGTAGCATAATTATACATATACATGTACATGTTCTTATGTTGTGTAGAAAGTTTGAGTTGATTCCGATCAAGTTTGGATTTTTTATGAATTTTAAAAGTTGCTCCAAAATCAGGCCAAAGTCCCTGTACTATACATGGTCTCAGGCCAAATTTTGCCAAAATTAAAAAGCAGTAATATCCACCTGCTAGAGCGAGCCTAGCGGAGTTTATAAGTGAAGAGCTAAAGGACGGACGAGCTTGGTGGCCGGAGAAAGATAAGATATCAGAAATAATGGAGGAGCTTCATCGTATGATTGAGGAGATACGTCAGCTTTGTAAGGAGGTGCTACAGGAGGAATGATATTTACAATTGTCTTATTACCATTATTATATGTTCTGATTCAATGAGAGTTTAAAATCCATATCCTTTGTTAGTGGATCATCTTGTAACTGGTTTACTGCTTCTCATAATCTCACACTGGCTGATTAATCCCGTGTGGCTTGTGGTTTCGTTTCCACGGCAACCTTTATGCGCCCTTATAAGGCAGAACCAATGTATAAAAACACATTTCCTGTCCAATTCTAAAGTAATTAGATTTACAGTTGTGAGCTGGCCAATCAAAATGGAGTTATGCGTATAAAATCATACAATACAGTGACATTCCTGTGGTGGGTGTACATACACACATACACAATTCCTTCTTTATTTCTATCTACACTCTACTCATGTATAACCTAATACACCATTACTGTATGACACAGAAGCCTTATACGAGCCTTCATACAGTAATGCTATAACTCCATCCCCCACTCACAATCTTTTGGTCATCAGTTGTTTGGTTGCCTTCTCTACAGCCCCTGCCTAGTTCAGTCACTCTCTCTCTCTCTTCTACTGTCTTTGTGTGTTACTTTCTGTGAAGGATTCTCTACTCAGTCTCTGTACAATATATACTCCTCACTCTACAGTATATTATAACTGGATGGACTCATATCCAGTTTAATGCTTCACTGAGAGACTGATCTGACTGCCTTCTTCTTCTGTACTATCTTAATTCTTGTACATTTGTTCTATAAACTGAAACTCCTTCGATAGCCATGAGTGGTCGCATCATAAGTTCTAGATCTCATCTCTCCCTCTCTTCCAGTGGAGGGGGAGGAGGTAGTGCTACTGGTAGACCAGCTGGTCCTTATTATCCTTCAATCCCAATGGTAATGCCATCAATAACAAGTACTGTATCAATACTAGTACTGTATCAATACTAGTACTGTATATTCTTTAAAGACTGTGTACTCTATGTATACTTAGCAGCTGCTGTTTTATTATTCTATTCTATGAATACTATTAATATTTGATGTATTATCAATGTACTATGTATGTGTGTGTGTGAGTTTTATTTGGTTTTGTGTCTGTTTGTTGTCTGTATTATAAAATGAAGGCAGCTGCTACGTATCAGCATACCTTCATTTTAATCTCCTTGGTTACACATACTTTATATTTTTATTAAGTTTTTTTGCCAGTATCGGGTATCAAATAGAAGGACTACTCTTTTAGTGGGCATTAAATAGAAACACTCCTCTCTGTGTTAGTGGGCTTTAATTAGAAGTAACTCATATGCTATAGATCTTCTTAATACATGAATGGCCTCTGTTGATCCATTGATACAATACCAATAGTAATACTAGTCATGTATGTACATGTACATGTAGTCATCAAAAAGTATACATATAGATGAATTAACTTTTTTTTTAAGATTTTAAATTCTAATATTTTTTCTTTACACATACCATCATATATCCTTTATGTATGTGTGTGTGTGTTCACATTCCTCTTCAGATGGTACATAGTACATTACTAATGGCCACTAGTCCTTGCATGGTTAGACATTGGATACTTATCATATTTCTCTGTGTCTTGAGGAGACTCTGTAGCAACAGCTGCTCTTTTGAATTCTTCTCATTTCATACCTAATTGTAGACACTGTGATGTAATATACATGTAAAGTTATGTCTCTTCTTCCCTTTCTCTCTCTCTCTCTCTCTTTCTCTCTCTCTCTCCTCTCTAGACTACAGCTGGTGCTAGTGTTCCTGATCCTCATTCTCGTGGTCGACTTTATCGCTCAACTTCTCTTCGATCAGACAGGTAATAATAACCAGAAACACTCATGTACATGTACATGTATTTGTTTGATTTGATCACGTGTGTTTCTGTGCTAGTAAGTGATTGTGCTTCCTTTATTTTAATTGTTATTTCTCTTTCACTTTACATTTTATAATAAAAGTATTGTCTTTCTTTATCAGTTTGAATGTACGTGTACGTGTACGTGTACGTGTACTGATTCTATCCTACATAAGTACATGTGTAGCTATCTCACTCTATCTTTTTAATTACTTCCTTAACTCTTCTTCCCCTCTCTCCCTCTCTCCCTCCTAGTGACCTAGATGGTGACTCGTTACCAATCCCTGGTATTGGGGGTGTTCCAGCTGCTGTTCCCTCTACCTCGAGATCACGCCGGAACCCCCAGCAGTCCATACGTTTACCAATGACCCCGTCACAGGCCATTAAAGAGTATGGGCACAGGCTCACTGGCTACGAGAAGAAGGAAATCCTGGAGTATCCTGATGTTTGGTTTCTGGGTCTGGAGTCTAAGAAAATCGAAGGGGTCCCCGGGGGGTCTCAGAATTGTGGCTACGATGATGAAAATGGGAGCTATATAAAGGTCCTTCATGATCACATATCCTATCGATACGAGATAAGAGAGATCATAGGGAAAGGATCCTTTGGACAAGTTGTAAAGGTTGGCCCTCTTTATTGTGTGTGTGTGTGTCTGTATTAATTGTATCCAATTGAATGAGGGATTTTAAAGCTCGTTTATTGATGCAAAAACCGTCCTTATTATTAAAAACCTGATACAGTAGAGTCAAACCCCAATATGTCAGTCCTCATGTTCACATAGACTGCATGGTATACAGTGTATGCTGATGGGGCAATATATTGGTGTTACTCTGTGAACGTGTGAATGTGTGGGGGTGTGTTTTATGTACTACCGATATAGGAGTAATTATCATTGTTGCAATGAGTGTCTGTTTACTCTCTCTTACCTCTTTCATCTCCCTCCCTCCCTCTCTCTCTCTCTCTCTCTCTCTTTCTTCCCTCCCCCCTCTCTCTCTTTTAAAAACTATATATGTGTATTAACATTATAAAACTGCCTCCTAAGCACTACATGTACATGTACATGTACATGTACATGTACATGTACATGCTATTGACAATGGGGTGTTGTCTTCTACCCCCCCTCTCTCGTGACCTTATTAGGAGCGACATGTTGTATCTGTAGCATATTCAGGATATTTATGTTTCTCAGTTTTAATCTAATACACTTAGATACTCATCTCTCTGCCATATTTGATTACCATAACTTGATTTGTTAGTGACAGTGATCCTGGTGTTAGGTTTAATGTGGAGGTAACAGTCACTACTGGCAGCTGCTCCTGTATCCACTTGCATGTACATGTAGGTGTAGTTTACCGTCTCTTTCGATTGGGTGAAGCACCATATAGGAGCTCTTGGTAACAAACAATCTATTAATAGTAACATATTAATAGTAACAAGCCCCATAATCTATTAATAGCTCTGGGGCATGTTGAGGTTCATTTTAAGGTTTAGTCATGCATGACTGGTTGTAATTACTGAACTATTTTATAATTATATTTGTAACATTCCACCATTACATCATTCTCTCTGTGTAAATGGGGTACATGTATAAGTATTGTAGCTTTTGTTTATAAGGATTTTTTGTTTATTTATTTGTTTATTTATTTAGGTTTTTGATCATAAAACCAACCAGCATATTGCTCTCAAGATCATACGAAATAAGAAAAGGTTTCATCACCAGGCACTGGTTGAAGTCAAAATACTGGACTCACTGAGAAAAAGGGTAAATAATAATAATAATAATAATAATAATAATAACACTAATAATAATAACAATAAGTGTACTTGCTCTGTGCTGTGGGAGTTGGTTGGTAGTTACTGTATTGTTGCACTGTGTCACTTTTCTCATCATGTGTTACTAGAGGAATAGAGTAATCACTTCTCCCCCTCTCCCTCTCTCCCCCTCTTGTTTATTTTATTATTATTTTTATTTTTAGGATCGTGACAACCAGTATAACATCATACACATGTTTGACTACTTTTACTTCAGGAACCACCTCTGCATAACATTTGAACTAATGGGGTAAGCACCACATGACAATCACATGATAATCACATGACTATTATTATTATTATTATTATTATTATTGTTATTATATCAGCTACAAAGTACATGTACAGTGTTATTGTTATTGTTAGATCTAGAAATAAATTTTGGGGGATCAATCTAATTAAAAATGAGAGATTTAAGGGCACCTAGGGCTAAATATGAGAGACCAAAAGCTAAAAAATGAGATATTTCAGGAGACCTAGACCCAAGTATGGGAGATTGAAAGTCTCCTAAACTCCCTCTATATCTAACAGTGATCATGTACATGTAGATATCATTTTAAAATTAATATTTTTTATTTGTTTATTTATTTCCACTAACCCCCACTCTCTTTCCCTTTTTAGTATGAATCTCTACGAATTAATCAAAAAGAATAATTTCCAAGGATTTAGCATCTCTTTGATAAGAAGATTCGCTTACTCAATGCTTCAATGTCTGAAGATACTCTACAGAGAGAGAATCATACACTGTGACCTCAAACCAGTGAGTACATGTACACATGTATTATTATTATTATTATTATTATTAACAAAATACCATATCATGCAGTACATGTACATATACATGTACTGTAATGAATAAGAGTTGGTTTTCCCATAGGATTTTGGTGTAGTGCTAAGCTTCTTTTGTACATGGTAGGTTGTTTAAGTTCACTTTGGGAGAAGCTGGTTCATAGTAACTGTACATGGGGCTAAGAGACAATTCTTATTATATTTTCTGAAGCATATACATGTGCTTTGTTGTGTAGAAATTTTGAGTCCATTCCAAACAAAATTGAAGCTTAACTATTAACATTATTTATTTATTTATTTATTAGTATGTCATTGTTTTGTTAACTAGGAGAATATACTGCTGAGATTGAGGGGGCAGAGCTCTATAAAGGTGATTGATTTCGGATCAAGTTGCTACGAGCATCAAAGAGTATACACTTACATACAGTCAAGGTTTTACAGATCACCAGAAGTAAGGACAGGCAATTATTGCACACTGTGTTATTGAGTTATGACCATTTTAAAAGTAGTGAATTTTGAAAAATACCCAAGGCTATAATGGTTTTTTCCAAAAAATGGCTCCGAAATGACTTAAATTTTTTATTACATTTTCTGATACATATTGATGTACTTATGCTATGTAAAAAGTTTGAGGTGATTCCGACAAAGAATTTTTGAGTTATGACCATTTTAAAAAACGGGCCAATTTTTGAAAAATACCCAAGGCTATAGCCCATGGTTTTTTTCAAAAAATGGCTCCGAAATCACCCCCAATTTTTATTACATTTTCTGATACATATTGATGTCCTTATGCTATGAAGAAAGTTTGAAGTGATTCCGACAAAGAATTATCGAGTTATGACCATTTAAAAAAACAAGCCAATTTTTGAAAAATACCCAAGGCTATAGCCCATGGTTTTTTCCAAAAAATGGCTCCGAAATCACCCCCAATTTTTATTACATTTTCTGATACATATTGATGTACTTATGCTATGTAAAAAGTTTGAGGTGATTCCGACAAAGAATTTTTGAGTTATGACCATTTTAAAAAACGGGCCAATTTTTGAAAAATACCGAAGGCTATAGCCCATGGTTTTTTCTAAAAAATTGCTCCGAAATCACCCCCAATTTTTATTACATTTTCTGATACATATTGATGTACTTATGCTATGTAAAAAGTTTGAGGTGATTCCGACAAAGAATTTTCGAGTTATGACCATTTTAAAAAACGGGCCAATTTTTGAAAAATACCCAAGGCTATTATAGCCCATGGTTTTTTCCAAAAAATGGCTCCGAAATCACTCCCAATTTTTTATTACATTTTCTGATACATATTGATGTACTTATGCTATGTAAAAAGTTTGAGGTGATTCCGACAAAGAATTTTTGAGTTATGACCATTTAAAAAAAACGGGCCAATTTTTGAAAAATACCCAAGGCTATAGCCCATGGTTTTTTTCAAAAAATGGCTCCAAAATCACCCCAAATTTTTATTACATTTTCTGATGCATATTAATGTCCTTATGCTGTGTAGAAAGTTTGAGCTGATTCCGACAAAGAATTTTCGAGTTATGGCCATTTTAAAAACGGGCTAATTTTTGAAAAATACCCAAGGCTATAGCCCATGGTTTTTTCCAAAAAAATGGCTCTGAAATCACCTCAAATTTTTATTACATTTTCTGATGCATATTGATGTCCTTATGCTATGCAGAAAGTTTGAGCTAATTCCAATAAGAAATTTTCGAGTTATGACCATTTAAAAAAAACGGGCCAATTTTTGAAAAATACCCAAGGCTATAGCCCATGGTTTTTTCCAAAAAAATGGCTCTGAAATCACCTCAAATTTTTATTACATTTTCTGATGCATATTGACATCCTTATGCTGTGTAGCAAGTTTGAGCTGATTCCGAGCTCAAATTTTCTATTTTCATTCATCTAAAGTTTCATCATTATTGTTATTATTATTATTATTATTGTTTTCTACAGGTAATACTCGGTCTCCCTTACAGCATGGCTATTGACATGTGGTCCCTGGGCTGTATATTAGCCGAACTGTACACAGGCTACCCGTTGTTCCCTGGCGAAAATGAAGTGGAACAGTTAGCCTGTATCATCGAAATATTTGGACTACCTGACCCAGCGTTACTAGCTGAGGCTCAAAGAAAAAAATTATTTTTTGGTGAGTATGTACTACATCTACATCTACATGTACCTTGATTTGGTCACTGTAATTTACTAATTTTAGTATATTTTGTCAAAGAGTTGTGATAATAAAACACTAAATTTAAAATGATTTGTTAGTATTAAAATGCTAAAATAAGTACATGCATATACATGTACTTGCTTGTGCATTTTAAATTATTTTATTTTATTCTTCAGATTCACGTGGTAATCCTCGCTGTGTCACTAACAGCAAAGGAAAGAAGCGCCGTCCCGGGAGTAAAGACTTAAGCTCAGCCATTAAGACGAGCGATCTCCTATTCCTTGATTTCATCAGACGGTGTTTAGTTTGGAGTGCTAGTGAACGTATGAAACCTGAAGAGGCTTTACAGCACGCTTGGATTCAAGAAGTAATATTTAATTTTATATTTCGAATTTTTTTTTCTTTTTCTAATTATAGGGATTTCATAGTCGTCCTCGTGCCACGCCTAGAGCGTTACACATCTCTCCTTCCTCTTCAGCTGGTACTCCCTCCTCCTCCTCTCATTATCATTCTCAGACCCTCCCCTCTCACCAGCAGAAACCTAACGGTCGTCATGGCAGCAGTCAACCGCCCAGTGACATTAGCCCAGGCTCTGTGAGCTATACCGACTCGAGTAGGCGGAGACTTCATCCTGTGGGGTCCGATTCACAACCAAAAGTACTGGAACCGGCAACAAGACGCAACGGGTACAATAAGAGGAACTCGTTAGTTATTGATAGCACTGGGAGTGTTATGAGAGGAGGCGGGGCGTTTCCCATAGCAACTGCTGGTGAGACTGAACACAATGATCCTTCTTGTCGTTCGCCTTCAACTTCATCTCCTCCTCCTCAATAACTCTCTCTCCCCTCTCTCTCTTTCTACTAACTGATTTTGTAATTCTTTTTTTCATCTTTCATACTTAAATGTGTCCATCCAATCAAAATATATTGTGTCTTCTGAGAATCATCATTATCATTATTATTATTTTTTCCTTAAGATTTAAATCATTTTCTTTCTCCCCCTCCTCTCTCTCGTTTTTCATTTCCTTATTGTGTCTCGATAAAACTGTCTGTGTGTTATAAGATAACCTGTGAATCCTTTATTTTCATACATGGCTAATATTATTATTATTATTATTATTATTTCTGTTTATTTATTAATTTTGTAGTAAAACTTTACCTCTTTTTAATACAGAGAAATTTAATTTATACTTATTTGAATATATTGGATGGTGTCTGTGTCTCATTATAATTCAGTTTGTGGCTGTCATTTCCAGCTGCATGATCTCGTGTGTACATGTACATGTACATGTACATTAAAGTGTGTGTGTGTGTGTGTGTGTGTGTGCAAACAGTGTCTCTGTCCTCCTGTGGTTTCATACGGTCCTGTGTACACTGAATGTGATGATGTAAGTACAGGAGACTGTCATGTTTTTATTCTTGGGTAGACAGTGATCTGCTAATTGTCAAAGGTATATCAGTTGAAAGTGTCCAGGGATTAATTATCTTGTTTCTCTCATACTCCTCTCTTCCTCTTGCATGGCAGAAATAAGCATTTATTACGCCATTTAACTTGTAAATATTAGGTCTATCATCATGTTATTGAATTTGTTAATGTCCAATGGGTTAAAGATTTGCTACTTGAACGTAATATGACGTATATAATATAGCCCCGCCCATTTCTTTATAAATGCTCGCGGCAAGCTCGCTGTGCTAAATTATTATTACTTTCTCTTGTCAGTAGCTGTTTCTGACTGTTCTCCGTTGGTCTGGTCAATAGCTCCCTCTTTCTCTAGCTCGTTATCATGGCGGCTACATCAGTAGAGTTTCCAGTTGGTGGCCTCCTAAACGGTGATTCTTATAAAACCTCAACCCGCATGAAGAACATCAGCTCAGCTATGACTTGGATTCAAAAACAACTTGTAAGTACTCCAGACATTCTTTATGTAACGAAACAAAGATAGGAATGATAGCTAGTGCTATTTTATTCTTTAATATTTCATAAACTTAACAATTTCACACTACTCCCCCCACTATACATAATTCATTATAAAATGTAATATACATAATAAGATTTCAGCAGCCATGAGGTGCTAATGGATACAAAGGCAAATATTTTATAGTTCTATTGCTTCGAACTAGCATCCAGATGCTTCACTCTGATGTTTCACTCTAGCATCCAGATGTTGTGTGGCCCAGTTTAGCTGTAACAAGAGACAGAGAGAGACATATATGTACAATCATGCCTACTGGTCCATATAAATGTTAAATATGTACATGTACATAACTGTCTTGAATGAGTAGGTATGGATCTTCTAATATGTTGTGTTAACCTGATATCACTACTCCTCTTCATTCTCCTGTCTCTCTCTCTTCCTCCCCCTACATGTACATATTCTACTCTCTCAATGGTCAGTGTACATAGCTGGAGTCCATGTGGCTAGTCAGTAGTGTTAGTAGTAACATTTCTTAGTGGCATTCTTTGAGTTGTGTGGTTCAGGTCACAACTGCCAATGACTATACACACAGTTGCTTATAGTAAGACTTTCTTTTGCCCCTAGTAGTAAACAGCATGTCTCTATAGTGTGTCTCTGTGTGGCATAATTCTTTTTTGATGTTGCAGTATTGTATGATACATATCAATGTGTAAAGGGAAATGTCTTCTTGTTTAAATCACTTTATGTGTCTACATGGCCTCACTTTTTCCCTCTCCCTCTCTCTCTTCCCCTTCTTCTCATCTTTTTAATTCTCTTTCTAAACCTCCTCTCTTTCTTTAGAAATCCATGAGAGAGTCAGACCAGCAGCTAATAGATTTATTCCAAAGGCTAGAGACAGATGTGTCTGACCTAAAGTCACTCTATGTTGAAGGTACTACCAGCAGAGGTAGGAACTCCTCCGTCTCATCAATCCGAGACTATTATTCAAAAACCAGTCTGACCACAGCATATCCATTAGAATCCGCTACATTACCTCCTTCATCAACCAGCAAGGTATCTATTCTCGACTCGGAAGCGGCGGCCATTTTGGAGCATTCTGACTCCAATGACAGTTTGACTAATTTTGCCGATGAGCTCGGTTTTGATGATGACGAAGATGCTTTGTCCGAAGACCGTCCATCCATTAAAAGCCAGAGTAGCAACGATCAACCAGCGACCGGCAGTCATACTAATATCGAAGATGAATCTTCTCTCGATTTCTCTCCTCGTGATTCTGAACGGATTAGTGTCAAAGAAGAGAAGGTTATGCTTCGTCGCCTTAGCAACGATAGCGGGGCCGTTGCCGATAGCGACAGCACTGGAAGTAATGTGATGCCTGAGGGAAAGAAACTGGGCGTGTCTCTGACTGCCGATGATGAGAAGAGGCTCTCTGGGTTTGCCGATGAAATATTTAAAATGTTCCAACTCTCAAACTCATAATAAATTATCAGAATCAGTCCAATCATCTCATTATTATTATTATTATTATTATCATTATATTATTATTATTATTATTATTATTATTATTATATTATTATTATTATTACTACTACTAATGTTACTGTTCTATTATTTATGATAATTATCATCATCATTGTTATTAATTAATTGTTAGTTATTAAGTCCGTATACTTTTAAACTCTACTGCATTCATTCTCCGGATATTTCCATTCATTTTCACACCTTTCTTCTTGCACTTGCATGACTTGAGCCAATAGAGCAATGTCTGGAGCCTGGTATATGGACGAGGATTATGAAACAGATCAAAGAGAGCCCCATCGCTCACCTAACGAGCCAGCAGATGTAGATATGTCCTTACTGGCTGATATTGGAGTCCTTCATTGGAAGGTTTGCTCACCATGGCTCCACACACTAATTTGAGGCTGTGCAATATTGTTCATTGTTATTTGCTCCTTGTAGCTTGATACTGCAAACTATGAAGGAGAGGGAGGGACTTTTGATAAGCTGAGGAAAGAGAGGGGTTACAATTATAGTGACATCATAACAGTGTCTCCTGACAAGCTACCAAACTATGAACAAAAGGTTTACGACTTGACAGCTATCACTAGTGTATTCCATACTCACTTGTTGAAACTTAAATTCTTGGGAAACACATTTATATAAATTCCCTTGAAGTTATTGGATGCTAGACTGTAAACATGGTTTACTTCCTGTTCTTGTTCACGCCTTTAGGTGTGAACAAGGTGTGAAAAATTTTTACAACTTTTTGTGTAAAGTTTCAATATAATATTTTGTTTGGAGCAACTTTAAAAATTTGTAAAAAATCCAAACTTTATCATAATCAGCTCAAACTTTCTACACAACATAAGAACATGTATATGTATCAGATAGAATTATTAAAATGGAGAATTCTCTACTTTTCATTTTTTGTGAAATTTGGCCAAAATCTCTGTACTATAGTACAGGGACTTTGGCCCGATTTTGGAGCAACTTTAAAAATTCGTAAAAAATCCAAACTTTATCGGAATCAGCTCAAACTTTCTACACAACATAAGAACATGTATATGTATCAGATGGAATTATTAAAATTGAGAATTTTCTACTTTTCATTTTTTGTGAAATTTGGCCAAAATCCCTGTACTAATAGTACAGGGACTTTGGCCCGATTTTGGAGCAACTTTAAAAATTCGTAAAAAATCCAAACTTGATTGGAATCAGCTCAAACTTTCTACACAACATAAGAACATGTATATATATCAGAAAATGTAATAAAAACGTAGAATTCTCTACCTTTCATTTTTGGCGAAATTTGGCCAAAGTCCCTGTACTATAGTACAGGGACTTTGACCCGATTTTGGAGCAACTTCAAAAATTCATAAAAATCTAATTTTGATTGAAAGTTACTAAAATATTAATTCTCTCCTTATTTACTATCAAAACTGGACTATTAATATTGTATTTACAGTGACACTAATTGGTATGATTTTCCTCCTCCAATATTACAAATATTTCCTATGGTTTCTGATTATACTCTTCTTCCCCTGAACAGATTAAATCATTCTTTGAGGAGCACCTACACAGCGATGAAGAGATTCGCTTTATCCTAGAAGGGAGTGGCTATTTTGACGTGAGAAGTAAAGGAGACAAGTGGATAAGGATCAAAGTTGAATGCGGCGATCTTATAATCCTTCCAGCTGGAATATACCACCGGTTCACACTGGATAATAAAGTATGATTATATACATGTAATTATTATGATGTGGTTGTGTTCTGTTTCAGAATTATATAAAGGCAATGCGCCTGTTTCAAGGTGAGCCAGTGTGGACTCCAATTAACAGACCAGCTGACAGCCACCCAGCAAGAATGACCTATCTCCAATCTTTACAATAAATCATTTAAAAACTGATATTAATAATTGTTATTATTATTGCTAATTAGTGTTGTATATAGTGAAATGTATTGTGTCTTTATTAATAATGACTTATGACTGTATCATAATAGACTAATATGGGAGCTATGGAGCTATAAAATAATTTATTTTATAGCTCCATAGCTTAAATAATATAAAAGGGGAAAGTTTTGGGTGGAGCTCAGCAAAATAAACGCCCACTCTTTGTAGGTGTGGCTTTTAATATGCGAAGCACAAAAATCTTGTGCAGAATTGATACTGCAGAAAGTAGTAGAAGTTAGCTACTATAGACAGTAATGGGCCAGAAAGGGAGTCGTTCTATTGTACCTTATGCAGCCCCAGAGCTAAGCAGCAGTAAAGACTACTGTACTAGCACTAGAGTCTCCGGCCATGACTTACCAATGATAAAGAAAGCTGGATCACTAGCTACACTAGGAATCAGTGGCGGGTCGTCATCTACACTGGGGAGCCTCGGGAAGAAAGAAAAGAGAGGGACACTCCGCCGGACCCGCTCCTTTACAGAGCAACAAGAAGCAGAGGAGGCTCTCAAAAAGGAAGTAACGAGAAGAGTAGAGAAAGAAGCGAGGGAAATGAACGAATGGGTCCGGCAAAGATCCTCGAATAACCTCCAGAAGCAGCAACCAGCATCACTACAAGACCTTGCAAGTTTATGTATTGCAACTGCACTCAAAACACCGATGGACATCGAGAGACTATCCATCAGTGAAGACTTGAAGGAATCCGTTGAATTCATGCTAGCACCAGTATTTGACAAGAGTATGGCTGAACCAGGGGTTTCATTCTCAAACAGTGGCAGAACAATAGTCTACAATGGTAAGTCCTATTCAACGACAGTTCTTAAGACCCCACACAACAGAGGAGTGACCAGTGGTCGCTGTGCCTGGATACTATACATTGAGAACTCTCGAATACCTGGATGGATACAAGTAGGCGTGGTCAACAGGTTCCGCTGGCTAAAAAAGTGCAAGACCGTTTGGGACGGGAACCCACACCCTTTCCGTAAAGGGGAAATAGCTCGTCGGAACAACGGGAACTTTCACTCGGGACGCTTTGAATACGAAGCTACCATGGTACATGATGACGTGTACGTTAGTGGGTTCGGCCGTGGTGACACAGTCGGCTTGAAAGTTGACTTTGATTCGAATGAAATCCAATGGACAAAGAACGGAGAGGACTATGGTAACCCGGTGTCTTTCGACGGAGGGCCAATATGGCCGAGCGTTAGTCTGGATTCTCCAGGGGAAGGAGTATCTTTATTATATTACACCTGCTCTGTGAGGAGCTCTCAGATTGTTCATCATTCGCACCTTTCAACAAACTAAAACGCATCAATGTTTGTTGAGCCTTACAAATAATTATATTATTATTATTATTATTACTCAAATCAAAATATCTAAAATTTCATCATTCATTTTCTATTATTATTATTATTATTATTATTAATATTCGTCAACATTAAGGAGGAGTATTAAAAACTTCTCTATTGTAAGTAGGATACATGAAAAGAGATGAGAGGGATTATACAGACCAAAACTTTACACAGTACGTGTACATACACATGTTATTCCAATTGGAATGTCTATGTTTGAAAAACAAGTCCCCTGACCTAACACTACAGTACATGCTGACAATACATCAACATGTACATGTAATCCTTCACTGCAGTGCTGTTGTGTACTAAAGATGCTATGATTTAGTTATAATATGTACAGTACATATCAGTGTACTAAATGGAAGAATGATCATGTAATGTCTGCAATGTTTTTGAGTCCCACACTCCATTATACTTTGGCTACAGGTGTACCAAATATTTTCATTAATTTATTTAGAGATAGTGTCAATTGTTTACAGAGTGTCAAAGACACAGCAGGTAATCGTGTTACAATATATCCAGCAACTGGGAAAATACAATTATAGAAGGAAGCAATTTAGCTACTAAATACTTTAATACGAATTATATATGGGCAATATTTAATAACAAAGCAGGTTTTAAGTGTACACATAGCAGTATATTAAATTATTATTAGTAGTAGTAAAGTAGTTTACAAGTTTGCCATTAGTTATTAAGATGTTGAATTTGCTCGCATTTTTTCATATTGGGCCATCCTTGATTCTAGCTCTGGTCTAAAGTGTCTTATTAATCCCTTTAAGGGAGAGAGGGAGAGAGAGAGAGAGAGAGAGGAGGAAGTTTAAGAGTACAATTATAATTACATACTTTAGGTGGCTGACAACCACCCATTATTGTACAAGTACAAGCACATAATTTCATTAACTGTTGGAGTATTATTTATTAACTACATGTATATGTAGTACATGTTATACATAATAAATGGGTACAGTACCTGGACAGGCCAGGCTGCTCCGTCTCCCAAAGCACAGATAGTGTGACCCTCTATCTGTTTGCTTAGTTCCTGTAGCATGTCAATCTCTGATGGTTTGGCTTTTCCTTCGACTGGAAAGAAAAACATGAATCGTTATAAAATAAAGTATAACTGGAACAATAATGTAATAGTCACAGATTAATAATAATAATAATAAAGTATTGCTACCAACAATAGTAGTAGTAATTAAAAGTATAATAAATAAGAATTATTCCCATGCCAAAGGCTGTTTAAACACTTTGCAGTAACAAGACCAGAAATGCTAAAAATGTATGCCAACCTGCCAAATCTACACATTTTCTGTACTAGTAATTTTAAGAATGGATGTCAACCTACCAAATCTGTACATTATGCTAGTCATCCAGCCTGTTCCCTCCCTACATGGGGTGCACTGACCACAACTCTCGTGTTTATAAAACTCTATGAGTCTTGCTATGGATCGGACCACATCAGCACTCTTGTCCATTACAATGACAGCTGCTGTCNCAAGAGCCGAGTGTTCTTCAACTAGAGCATCAAAATCCATCAGAACAGTATCACAGACACTAGAAGAAGTAATGACAATAATAATAATAATAATAATAATAATAATAGTGATACAATTATATTTTATTTCTTACGATTTAGGTATAAGTGGTGTAGATGAGCCACCAGGTATGACAGCTAGGAGATTGTCCCACCCACCTAATAATAATAATAATAATAATAAAATATAATATAATCTACTTTGATCTTCAAGCAATATTGTTGCCTAGCCCATTCTATGCTAGGTAACATATGTTGCTAAAACATCAAAGTTAGTAACAGCAGATTGACTGCAACAGGATTGACTGATGTATGGGAGACTTAAAATCTACACACGTGTACAAGTACATGCAACACAAGATAACTTCAGCAATATCACAAACAACTAAACAATGATATGATTAATTGGTACAAGAATAGTGACAAATTACTTACAAAATAATAACATTACCTGACAATTTAACAACAACAACATAACCAGCTCAATAATGAATCAGTTACTCTTACCTCTCACTCCTCCAGCATGTCTCTCAATTAGATCCTTCAAAGGGACCGACATCTCTTCCTCAACAGTGCACGGGTTGTTAACATGTCCGCTTATATTAAACAGCTTCGTCCCTCGGTTCCTCTCACGCCCAAACGAAGCAAACCACGACCCACCTCTCCTGCATATGATCTATAAAAGAAGTACATGTACATATGATCTATAAAAGAAGTACATGTACATATGTACTGTATATAACACTTCTGTATAACAAATAAACTTTATTATACCAAAGTGTCCATTATATCAAGTAGAGACTAGTTTGTACATATACATGTAACTATTGTGACCAGAAGCTTTATGGAAATAAGAATTATAAAGGCATCAGTCAATACAGGTCAATGTGGGGAGCCATATTAAACCAATCACAATAACAAGAAAGCAACAGAAATACCAAGTATTCATGTGCATGTACTTGTAGATTCTATAGATTTTTATCTTCAATATCACCGTATTATAAAATAATAATATCATATTTGATACACGGTTGGACAAGTCAAAAGGTGTGAATCTCATTTGGAACATGAGAACAAGGGGTTGAGTGTTCAGTCAAATCCGTTAAACAAAGTGTTCCTGTTTGCTTCATTTCACATAAAACAAACTTCAAATAATGGCAACAATGACAGGATCGCTTCTGATCTCAGCCCCTTACAATAAGAACTAAGTAATCGTTTATTGGATTGAAGTATTGCTAATATCAAATGGATGACTGGCAGTGCTTATACTGGTATCCCAATAAACAGACGGAAGATTGAGCAAGATATTCAAACTATTAACACAGCAGACCACACAGTCATTGCTTGAATATTTGAAATTTGAATCAATTACAAAGTATGTGCGAGTGTTTGGGCATATAAATGCACATAGAGATCGAGTTATGTCAATATCAAAAAAATGAAAAAAATTACATACATGTATATACTTACAGGTGCTACGGCTACAGTTTCAACATTAGCCACAGTAGTGGGACAGCCAAAGACTCCAATAGCAGCTGGGAAAGGAGGTTTGAGTCTTGGCTTGCCTTGTTTTCCCTCCAAACTCTCTATCAATGCCTAAAAATAATATTTATTACAAAATAATAAATAAAATTATAATAAAGTTACGGTTTCTTCTCCGCAGATATAAGCCCCTGCTCCACGATGCATGTAAACATCAAAATCATACCCAGAACCACAGGCGTTCCTTCCAATGAGACCGGCTTCGTATGCTTCAAGTATCGCGTGTTGCATGTTACTGGCTTCGTTATAGAACTCTCCTCTTATGTAGATGTAAGCTGCTCTCGCTCCCATTGCTCGGCCGGCTACAAGACAACCCTCAACGAGTTTGTGAGGATCGTGTCGCATTATCTCTCGGTCCTTGCAGGTTCCTGGTTCCCCTTCATCAGCGTTAACAACCAAATAACTGGGTCTATGGGATAACAGGATATCAAGTAACTACCAAATTTTATGACAGTTCCTGATGCATATATGTGTTCTTGTGTTGTGTAGAAATTTTGAGCTGATTCCAATTAAAATTAGATTTTTATGAATTTTTAAAGTTGCTCAAAAATCTGGTCGAAGACCATGTACTATAGTACAGGGTCATCAGCCAAATTTCGCCAAAAATGAAAAATAGAGAATTCTCCATTTTTATGATATTTTCTGATACATTTCCTATTACAAATGCAATGTACATATACGCAAGTACCTGTCGTCTTTCTTGTCGTCAGGTGGCATGAAACCCCACTTGAGTCCAGTAGGGAACCCCGCCCCACCACGCCCCCTCAACCCACTCTCCTTTATCTCCTTCACTATCCAATCTCTTCCTTTTAAAATAATTTCCTTTGTCTTGTACCAGTCACCCTAAAAGTGATATTAAAAAGATATAATGAGCTCTTGCTGAATAATAATATTAACGAAACTCTCAGCAGGCGCGGCTAATCGTAGTTTAATTGTCACACCTCGTGCTTGTTTATTTAAATTGTTTATCAGTCAATTTGTTTATTTTTATTGCTTAGTTATCGTCTTACGCGTGAAAGAGCTCCTTTCAGTTTCCAGTCGTGCCTCCCGTACAAGTTTGTAAATATTCTGTCTTGATCTTTCAGATTACCATAACTCTGCATAATAATTTGTAATAATACATAACAGTCCGTGTTGCCAATCTCTCTATTCGTTACCGTTTTCTCTTCTTTCCCCGGACCAGATGAAGCTAATGTCCTATAAAGAGTGGTCCCTACAATATTCGTGATATAAACTTGCATATAAATTTATGCTTACTTTTAACAGAGCGGTTCAAAGCAACTCTCAAAGCGGCCATTTTAATTCTGACACGCCTATAAAGAGTGACCACGCCCACATTAACTAATCAGTCTTGACCACGCCCATAACAATTAATTACCTACTAATGAATTTTCTAATTATTAATTTGACATTTTAATGTCTTTTTGTTTGATTCCAGTTCTACGATACTCTTCTCTTTTTTGAAGATACTCTCTCTTGCATTCTTCTTGAAATTCCTCATTCTTAAAGCTACAGGAATAACACATTGATTGATTAGTTAATAATAATGATAATCTTGATCATGTCTTACAGTGCAGTTAAACAGTCTTGCATTTGCTTGTTTGTTTTCTGACACGCCCAAACAGCAGATATCGTCCTTCCTCTCATACAGTCCTCAAATTCTAAACAAAATCAATTAGAATTCGAAAATTAGTACGAAAAGAATTGATCTTCTCATTCAATGATACACATACAGGAGGCAGCAAAACATTAGCTTTAACATTTACACAAGGCAGACAAATACTACTACCGCTGATAGTATTATTATTATTATTATTATTATTATTATTATTATTATTATTACTATTTTAGCACCTTTGACTTCAGCACTGCACCTCTTCATTGCCTTTTCTCTCATAATTTTAGGAATCAGAACATCTTTCTCTACTACCCTCAAATCATCTCCCTTTGGATACTTAACTATTTCATTGAAGCTACCGTCTCCTCCTCTTTCCCTTCCTCCTTTCTCTTTCTCTGCTGCCATGTGAGCGCACGTGCCCTGAACCACACCTACTATATTTAATTGAGCGTGAGAGTAGGTAGGCGTGGCATAATCAAAGATGGCGGATGAAGAGGAAAATGACAGAGAATCAATTCTAGCTCATTTTCAAGTATGGAATGCTATGAATTAATGTCCTTATACCTTTAATTGCTAGGAGGTAACTGGTATGACTGATTCTGATCAGTCCAGAAGGTTACTAGAGACTCATAACTGGAATCTTGAGTCATCTGTACAAGACGCCATAGCTATTCAAGAAACTGGCCAGCCTGTCTTTACAATGCCTCCTATGCAGCCCTTTCCCTCTCCCCCTCCACCTGCAATATCATCAGAACTAAGATCAAGGTTGGGTGGATCATTACTTGTGATCTAAAAATAGAATCAATGTCAATTATGGGGTTGAGGTTTAGTTCTATTATTAGACTATTATCCTGTTCTATTTATAGATCAAGAGGAGGGGCATTGGGTGGAGTAGAAGATGAAAGAGTCCTGAGGGCTGGAGGTAGTAGGACAACAGGATGGTGGGAATGGCTAATGGGCTGGGCTTTCTTTCCGGTTCGTCTCATCATCTCAACAATCAATGAACTCACTCAATTGATACGTATGTACCCCTCTACCAGCTCTTCTAATTAATGCCCACCTCTCAGTACAATTGTTTTTAGGTAACAGGCTGCCAGGTCCAGCTGCAGATCCACTGAGAGACGTCAGTGAGTTCATTGCCCAGTTTCAGCGAGACTATAACTCTAATGTCCCGTTTATGGATTCCAGCTACGGAGATGTAATTATTATTAATTATAGTTGTAATAATTAATTATTTAGTAAATAACTGGTTCCTTTTCTTCCTCTATAGGCTCTTGAGGTAGCTAAGAAAGAGTTAAAATTTCTCCTTGTTTATCTTCACTCGGCAGGACACGAAGACACGCCCACTTTCTGCCGGTTAGTAAAACATTAATTAATTGTTTATTGTTGTTGTTTATTGTTGTTGTTTATTGTTGTTTTATTGTAGTGAGGTGCTTGCTAGCGAAGAGTTCCATTTATTTCTAATTGCAAAGAATATCTTGTTGTTTGGAGTTGACGTCAATAGCGAGGAAGGAGCTCGTGTCTCATACATACTAAGAGAAAGCAGGTATCCATTTCTCTCTCTTATTATGCTAAGAGGATCAAGAATGACTGTAGTGGGCAGGTTTGAAGGTAAATTTAACAAATTTTTATAATTTCCCCCTTAATTTTTTTAATTTTGAGATTTGCCCATTAAAAATTTTGTCACTAATAAAGTGCCTCTTTCTTTTTATTTTATTTGATTATTACAAATTTAGGCTACACAGCATTGCCTAGTCTTATCGACAGGTTAAATCAATTAATAATGATTAATGAGCCGGAGCTGATCGTCCTCCGAACTGAGAGGGAACAGCGGACACTAGATCAACAGATTAGGAGAGAGCAGGAAGAAGAATATTTGAAATCTTTACAAGCTGATCAAGAAAAGGTAACCCCTTGATTTTAGTACATATCAATTGCCTGTAGTCCACTTTTAATTGTGTGTGTGTGTTAGCTAATTTTTAGCATTTTTATGATGTTCTTGTTGTTTGGCTCTTCATTTTTAATGATATTATTAATTTTTGTGTCACTTTAGTTTAGCATTTTTAGTGAGAGATCTCTTTCTATTTTTAGGCTCGTAAACGTGAAGAAGAGCAGCAGCGAGCCCGAGAGAAAGAAGAGAGAGAAAGAATGAGAGAAATGGAAGAAGAAAAGAACAGAAAAGTAATTGTTATAGCCTCCTTCCTTTCTCCCTCTCTCTCTCTTTCGTTAACTCGTTTCTTCTTTTCTGTAGCAATTCCTATTAGAGAAAGAGATGAGAAGAAATCGCTTGCCACCAGAGCCAGTGTCCGATTCTGACGCAATACATTTTGTGATTCGGTTACCTAATAGTACTAGGCTGGAAAGGAAATTTAGTCCAAGCGACCTTTTACAAGTATATCATTTTCATCTTGTAGTCATTATTATTCTTTTTATTTTAAATCAGTCGCTATATGATTTAGTGTACTCACACGAAGATATTAACGAGAGGTTCGTACTGGTTAGCAATTATCCACGTCAAGAAGTAGTCTGCAATGAAGATGGAGGTCCAAGTTTGGATGCACTAAATCTCGGAAAGAAATGTCTCCTGTTTGTCCAATATAACACTGATTAGAATATTATAATTCATGATACATCTATGATAATCATTAATAATTATTGTTGTCATAATAAAAATATAAAATTATTATTATTAGCAACACTGAATGACGCCTCTTTCTAAATAATGAAGATACCACTGCAGATAACACAAGAATACAAACTATACAGGAACAAAAATACCTAATATATTAACAGCAAATTAAAGTCTTCCATTGTCTCCTAAACTGGATACGAAGCTGCAGATGCAATCCCACAGTTGTTGTCTTTATTTCTAGCCATTAGCACATATCCTTTATCACCCCAATCACTGCTCCAACTATTAGCACAAATACACATGGCTACGGTGAATCATTTTTTTACATTAATAATAGCAATACCTGTTCTTAACAATGTAGTACTCTGTTCCATCATAGTATGTGCCGTAGCCCACTACAAGGACGCCATGATTCAATCTGCTGCTACTGCAGTCGCTATCATAAAATACACCACTTGAATAAAACTGGAACGAATATCTTGAAGCATCAATTGCAACACTACAAGAAAAGAAGCCAGATATAAAGTATTAATGATTAGTCCCCCCCCTCTTGAGAAAATGAAAAGAGACTAGATCTACTTCATGTTTAAAACTAACCCACTTCTCTTGTAAGACCACCATATTCCCAAAACCAGAGGGCAGTCTCTTAAAATGTCTGTACTACCATTAAGTGATAATTACCTGACAGTTCCTACAGAAGAGACTGCATTAGTTAGACTCTCCTCATCCCCAGACGCTATGTTCTTGTATCCTCTGCAGGAAGCAGCAGGGGAGCATGAGCTGGACTTGCAGGCCCACATCTAATTGGAAGCTCACATGATTGACTGCCATTAATAGACTAGTTCACACCCTGCTCTCTCATTGTAGTATGAATGGGTACATAATAGAACTACTGTGCTTGTCAACATAGTTACTGTTCTGTGTGGATCCACTTACATAGCCAACATATGGATAACTCTCCTCAGAGCAGATATACCCTTTATTGCGAACATAAGCAAATGCTCTGTCCATCAGCCCACCTTGACACCCAGCATTCCCATACCGATAAGAACAATCCACCAACTGTTGCTCACTGAGGGAGACTAGTGTCCCTTTATTTAGGAAATGCATAGCTTCTAATGCACCAGTTGCACTGAATGCCCAACAACTACCACATTGCCCTTGGTTTTTAACCTGAAATAAATAAAGATGTGTTGTGAGTACAAATGACAGAGAGAGAGAGAGAGAGAGAGAGAGAGAGAGATGATAACTGTGCAGGTGTATAAATCTCAAATTCTTACTGAAGTAACTGCTCCTCTATCTCTCCAGTCCACAGCAGTATCTGCTTTAGCATTGTTAGCATGGAGTGACTCGTTCATCATGTTCCTCTTGAAGCCCTCAAGATCAAATGATGAGAGATACTTCTCAGTGTACTCATCATTAGTCTATCAATAATAATAATGATAATAATAATAATAATGATGATATGAACTTTATGATATGTGACCCATTTCTTACTAAGTCTGCAAAGTGATTCAAAGCCAGCTTGAATGAGCTCTCCTTCATATTGTGCTCTTGTATCAATTTATAGTTGCTTGACCATACTTGTCTCCTGCTTTCCTCAACTGCTACATTTTGATAAGTTTTCCTGTGAGTTATCTTCCATTGCTCCCACTCCTCGTCAGTCAGTGAATGGGCTCCTCCATACAATAATCCAATGACTGCTAGTAGGTACAGCATCATCTTCTCTCACTTCAGAACTGGCAATCTTGCAGCATTTACATAAAATCTTATACTCACACTATCAGTAGTTATTTAACTATAACTAATTAGTAGTTAGTTAACCATTAAAATAGTTAGATAACTGACTATGATAATTATTAATTATTGAGTAATGAGCCACACCCATAAACTTTCTATTTTAGTGGGCCTGTATTGATAATAATAGGGACAAGATCAAGGAGAAAATGCTTAAAATCCTTTCATTGCTGTTCTCTCTGTCTCTGTTAGCGAGAGGAGCAGATCTGGGAGTGTCAATTACATTCTGTATAGAATCTTCAAGTAATGATATTAAATATAAAGTAAAATATTTTTAAAACATTTTCCATGCATCATATGCAGTTGGAGAGTGGCGTCATGACATAACTAGTGCACTCGAAGGCTCTTCAGTATATTCAATAGGAGAAGTATGAGGAATAGCATCATCATCATCATCATCATCATTATTATTGTTATTATTATTATTATTATTATTATATTATTATTATTATTATTATTATTATTATATTATTATTATTATTATTATTATTATTATTATTATTATTATTCTTTTAACTGTAGAACAGCTGCAATATTGAGACCATCACTCCTACAGTCCTGATAGTTGGTCCTCAAAAAGACAGGCTACTCGTTGAAATGCAACCACATGAAAGGAGAGACTCCTTCACTAACAGAATAATAAGGTTAATGTGGATATTGGCAATGTGAAAGTGTACTCTAGAATTCTCTAAACAATAACAGAATGGTGGCATCTTATCGAGTTCACATGCCAACTGACTCAAAGCAGTTTGATAAACTCATTGATGCTACTAAAGACACTGTAGTGGCCTATAGCATTGGAGAAGACTCACCTGGTCAGTAGAATATTAAATGATAATGATACTGGTGTATTAATGAGCTTGTGGGGCTCTTGGATTTTAATGTAATGGTGTTTATGCTAACAAGGAAAAAGGAATATAAACTAATAAAATAAATATATAATATTTATATAATTATATATTTTAGACATAAATAAATAAATAAATAAATAAATAATAAATTTAGGATAAGAATAAATACTAATATTATATTAGAAGGCACCTAATGTCAGGATTAACCCATATACTATATGTATTTATAATATTTTCTATAGAATATAACACATTCTGTCATGCTGTGCTATCAAATGAGGTCCCAAGTTCCATTGAGATTCTAGTTGTGGGACAGTCCCGGCTCTTATCACCTCATATGCAGTCTTCGGTCAGAGACAACTTTCACTTTTGGGTTGTGTCTGAAGGAAAATGGACTGAGCTTCACTTACTGAGGCATCACTCGCCAATGACACTAGAGGCAAAGAAAGAGATAATTAGTTTCATTAGAAGACTCTCCTATCCTGCAATAGTAAGCACTACACCTCTCTCTCTCTCTCTCTCTTTCTCTGTCTCTGTCTCTGTCTCTTTCTCTTTGTGTCTCATTAATTAAGAAATTCATTGCCCTCCAATTTATGCTCACTCTGTCATGCTACTCTTTTAATATTGTATTTTATTTTCATTCCAGCTGCAATACTCCCCCGGGAGTATTGAGAGGACGTACAAGGATTCAGGGTTGTCCTATGTGTTGGTGTTTCATCATGAGACTCAGCTCAAGGAGATACTAAATGAGTATGTCACTGAACTCTCTCAAACTTTCAGGCCGCACTTTGCATTCATCACAATAAATGGGTAAGGCAATGTTGCTTGATTAAACTTAAATTGATTAATAACATGCACAATTTTTGTCGTAACTTAATAATTTGTAGCTCAAATGTTATATGCGTATCAAAAAAATTAATAAAAATTTGGGTTAATATTGGAACCATTTTTTTGAAAAAACCACGAGCTATTTCATATTAAATTTATTATTCTGTTTGTGTGTGTTATAGTGACAAGTACGAAGAGAAGATGTCACAATATTATTTAAATATGTTGACTAACCTCCCATACATAATTATACAGGAACCTGATCAAGTAAGAATTTAATAAGCCCCGTTTACACTTACCGGTAATTGTGTCCACACCTAACTGTGGTTGAATCGGTTTACAATGCTACATTGCATACATGATGCAGCTGCTTCAGTACTTGAACAGGTTTGATTATCTCAAACCACCTCCTGAGGTGGTTTGAGATAGTCAGTTTAAACCGCATTGAAATTGTCCACACGTAAACTGATTTATTTCTAAACTGGTTTCAACCGCTTTAAGGGCATAGTGTAAATGGGGCTATAATTATTATTATTATTATTTCTTTTCATTTTTAAGAATGATGGAGTACACATTAACAGCCAATACATTGACTATACTTTGGAGAGTCTTACCAATTTATTGAAATCATTAATTAATCCTGACCATCATGTTAGAGGTACAATAATAATAATAATAGTAATTATTATTAATATTATTATGTAGAGGGTGTAACTAATAGAGAGGACATTTCATTTGCAGTGATTCACTCATCTCAACTGTCAGCTCTGAGAGATGTTGAATCTCCAGTGATAGCAATACTTTGCAATCAAGGTACACTTGCTGTAACTGTCACCATCATAATGAGCTACTGCAGGCAGTAAAGAAGTAGATGAGTACCAGCAGATATTGAAGAAGGCAATTAATGAAGTTCATGATATCAGAGAGAGATTATTATCATTCATAGTAGAGACTGAAGATATTCAAGATGTCAAAATGCTCGGAGTAAATAAATAAAACATAATTATAATTAATAATTTAATTTCCATTGCAGGCGACTGTGTTACCGACTGTTTTAATTAAATACTATCAGTCTCATCATTTTGAAGTCCCTAAGCTGGTTGGAATAAACTTGTTAGAACTGATAGAATTAATGACTGCCTTGGCTAAAGGGTAAGCAGGACGACACAATGTTACATCTTATACTCTGTGTGACTGCCATTTTTTAAATTCTTCACTTACGTGAGGCGAATAAAAAATTAATGGTTAATGATATATTTTAGAATAATATTTATTCCTTTCATTGTTTCCTTGTTATGCACTGGGTTTGATAACAATGAAACAATAACTTTAATTTATATAATCAATCTTGTTGTTGTTGTTTATTATTGTTGTTGTTGTTGTTTTTTTTTTGTTATTGTAGGACTAGGAATGATGATCCTAATGAACATTATTCTTCTTCACTTTATGAAGACACTTCACATGATTTGAAGCAATTCTGTATGATATGACATATTGTCTTTTGCTATAATAATCCTCTCTCTCTCTCCCTCCCTCTCTTTCTCTCCCTCCCTCTCTTTCTCTCTCTCTCTCTCTCTCCCTCTCTCTTTATGGTCTCTCATTAGATGATTCTTTTCCTGTCCTAAGAGAAGATGAAACTGCTGGTCACTTGTATGGCTACACAACAGCCGGGCCACTTCCTCTGCTAACTTCAGACAATGTTACCTCATTCACTGAATCAACTAATCCAGCAGTAATAGGATTCTTCCTTCCTTGTAAGACTTTATGTTATTTAACATTAACATAATAATAATATGATATGCTATGGACACATATGATGCGTACATATGATACTGTCCTATCTTAAAATGATCACTATCTCTTTGATTATCGATTTCCTTTTGTTCTTTTTTCTTCTTCCTTTCTCTCCCTCTCTCTCTCTCTCTTGCTCTCTCTCCTCAGATTGCCTCCAATGCAGACCAATGCTGCTACACTTGATAGATTTTTATGAAGAAAAGGAAGAAAATGGTATATAACTTGTACATGTATGTACGTACGTCTGTCTGGATGTGTACAAAGATGTGATTATTGGGAATTTTGATTAAAATATTATTCAATTATCTTTTATAGTCCAGGTGGGAGTTGTAAATTGCGCCGCTTATACGGACGTATGTTCATTCTTTGACATTTCTATTTATCCTACGGTCAAGATAAGGTTTGATCTAATTCCATCAATTATACACTCTATTTGAAGTATACTTTAGAAAAGAAGGAGAAAATAATTGGCGGACATTTGAAGGAATTTTTACTACGAAAAGTCTAACAGCTGCACTCAACGGAACTACAGGCGCTACAGCAGTGGGTTATATAGAGCTTATAATTTTATTTTACATATTTTTTTAAATAGAAGAGAGAGTTAGATGTGGCTAGTCTGTTACAAGTAGACATGTCTTCTTCCATTTCGATATATTTCACGTCAAGTTATAAACTCACTGGTTTTGAAGAGAGGATTATAAATGAGATTAAAAGACAAAAGATTTACTGGATCAACATGTAAGATCCTCAAAGCATATAAAGACATTTCCTCTCTCTTTTCTCTTTTAGTAATAAAAGACCTAATTTACTAGAAAAGTTAGCAGGTGCAAATTTCTACCCGTGTATTTTACACATTGATTATAACCAGGTACACTGCACACACACACACACACACGCACACACACACACACACTGACACAGCGTCATTCTAATTGTAGTAAAGCAGGACATGTCAATAGTGGTTGACATGTTTACTCTCCCGGTGGGAGTAGTGGAGAATGTTAACTATTCCCCAGTTGTATAAATTTCCTCCTTTTTTTTACAATTGCAGAAAATTGTTTACCACCTAAGCATTGAGACAGCAACCAAACTCAGTGACATTGATAACTTTCTGCTTAACATAGAGAAAGGGAAACAACCAATATACAGTCAGTACTGTTGATTGTTTGTCATTGTTACTACTACCACACATTAAACATTCTACTATAGAAACTCTTGGAACTGTGGCGTGGTTGCCATCAAAGCCACGCATACATTTCCCTAGTCAAGCCTTTAAAGAGATGAGGAAAGTTAAAGAGACACGGAAATCAAGAGACGAATATGAACAGCCTCCTCCTCCTCCACCTGCTACTTCTGATCCGCATGAAGACAAACATCATATGCCATCTCATAATGAACTTTGATTATAAAGAGAGAGAGGGAAAGAGAGAGAATATAAGATAGACAGGTGTGTCTTTAACATTTCTATATAATTTTCAGCCCTGTTGCACACGGCAAATTGATTTTTCGTACAAACTTGAGAGTAAGATTAATGTCGCTGATCAATGCTCTCCTACTACATGCATTTGAGGGTTAACTGGGTTCAATGCCACAGTGTATAAGAAGAATGTTGTATTGGTTGGTCCCTAATTAGTTTAGTGAGTTATATTTACTTATGCTGTTAATTTGTAGACTAAATACAGTTAGCAGCAGCAAATTCTTTTTTAGTCGTAACAGTCTCCAATTACTGCAACTCCTGATGATCGTAGCCATGTTGTTGTATCAATTTGGCTCTGCTAATCTTGAGCATTTTCTTCTGTACAACAGAACAGCTTAAAGTATCTATTACTAGATGCTGTACTCCAAATACTATTGGCAGTGAAAGGATGTACTTGTACAGTTACAATCAAGCAAGAAGAACATACTATACCTACATGTACATGATGATATGTGCCTGGCTTGCAAAACCTGTTCTTTAATCTGGTATTCAACACTTTTTAAATTAGATAAGGATTTCCTGAGCTGTCTAGCCACAAAACTCAGGTTGAAATAACAATAAGAATTATAAGAATAATAATAACAATTACAGTATTTTCATTAATATGAAATACATAGAATACATATAAAAAATTGGTGACAAGGTTAGGGGTTGTATGTTACAGACATTACAAATATTTGCATGGCATTACACCTTTTAAGTGAGTCGGACATTATTACTCATACAAAATAGCTGCACGAGAGAGAGAGAGAGAGAGAGAGAAGGATTGTCGTGATAATGCATCGAGTCTGCAATAAAGTCATTATGCTTGAAGATTATGAATACAAGAGGCCGCCACTTTAGATCTACTGCCTGAAGGAATCCAAGGTATGTTTCAGATCTTTATGCAAGTAGTTTCCATAAGAAGAGGTTCTGGCTCTGGCCAGAGGAGAGCTAGTAGCTACTGTCCCTGCAGTTGTAAAAGAGCTGCTTCTGGTCTTCCCTTCAACTACAAGGAAAAGGTGACACGTAAGGAGTACAAAGTGTCAATTGCTAGGCTATTAATGTACCTTGGTCCGTGGATAAAAGCTGTCTCCTGTTCTTTGGGCTCTCGAGGGAGCGGGTAGAGGTGTTTACTGCATAAAAAGGCACTGCGCTCATCTCCTTGGTTCGACAAGTAGCTGCGCGTCTCCTTAAAGGCAGTAAAAGGCAGTGGAATCTGATGAAACAGCAATGGAGTTGGAGGAAACTGTGAAAGAGATTAACACTGTAGCTCGTGCTCAACACGTTAGAGCTAATGATAATTTTTGTTTATAAACATGAGGAGAAAATATTTCATTTAGAAAACATACGGTAAAGCTTATTTGACCCCTCCCCTCTCTTTTTAGGTCAAAATGGCCTCCTCTTCAGAGGCAGGATCACAATTAGTGAAATTTAAAGCCCTCCCGACCCACCTTCAGTTCAACCCGTACATCACCAGTGGCTATAGGAGGCCATTAGGTACAAGGGATTGCATGAAGAGCGTCTGTTATACTCACAACGAGTCTTTGAATATTTACAGTCATGGTAAGATAGTGTAGACACTTACATAAACTTCTTGTGTCTCTCCCTCTCAGCCTTTTTTGTCATCTTCTTCCTACTCTCATTCATCCAGTATGTCAGGGTATGGCAGTACAACCAGAATCCAGTGGTATCTCTATTCATTCTCATTGATTACTTTGCCACTACTCTCCCATTTGGCTTGAGTGTCCTCTATCACACCTTCATGTGTCACAGCGGAGGCTACCCTGTCTACCTGGTGATGCTTAGGATCGACATTGCTGGTATTTGGCTCCTTGCAACGTTTGGAGAATTGGAAAATATTTATGTGACTTTGTATTTTTATTCAATTTTAAGGACAGCAGGTAAGGACCATATTTCTAGCTCCTTTTCAAATCAAGCTGATGTTATTCATAACTATTTTACACAATTCAAGTTAACTTCATTCTCTTTTCTTTCTCTTTCTCTCTCTCTAAGGTATCTCGCTATATGTCATATTCTCCATTCTAATTTTTCATAATTTAATGTTCAACAACAACAAGAAGACAAGGTCACTGCTGTTCACTTTCCAGTTTCTCCTTAGAGTACTAGTCATCATCATACGACTCTCACCTTATGGGTGTGGTCAAAAGCACTATTATTTCATTGTCCTCGAGATATGTAATTCAGTGGGTGTGGTCATTAACGCATTACACATCCCTGAGAGATGGTTGGCAAATGTTAAGATGAATTATTTTTTAAATGGTCATACGATCATGCATTTTTTAATTCCTTTCGGTATAATTTTCGCAAGGCAAGGATTTCTTATTGATATGGAATGGCTTTTAGAGCAATCTCAATCTTGATAATTTTGAACTCAATTTTGGTTAATTTTAGATCGTTTTAATTCATTTTAGTTCTATTTTATTTCACAAGTATTGTATTTATTTATTTATTTATATTTTTTATTATCAAATTAAAGATGTTTTTGGCGGATTATTTATTAATTGTTTTGTTAATTTCAACTCTTCTCTTTTAAATGTATCTCTGTTTGATTTCTTAATACTTCTTCTTTCCTAAAAATAACATTTTAAACAAACATAGTCAATATTACTGAACATCAACTTACTCTTCTTTCATTTTTAACCCCTCGCTTCCTTGCTTTCTTTTCTTCAGCACTTTCATTCTTGGGTCGTATTGTTACTATAAATAGAAAAAATTGTTACTATAAATAGAAAAAATTGTTACTATAAATAGAAAATATTGTTACCATAAATGGAGAACTATTGTTACTATAAATAGTAGAAAGGCTCAATAGAGTAATACATTAATCTGATTATTGTGCTTATAACTAACTTGCTCTTAGCTTTATTGTAGCTTCATTTGAATCACAGTCTGTACTCATACTCTCCTTCCTAGTCTGTTGTGTGTCGTGAATGATGAAATACCAAATGTACGATAGTTTACTTTAGTTTGTTCGGAGGAGGGTACCTCGATGAGTGTAGGGTGATTGTATAAATTGGAATAAGTCGATAAAATGCTTTCACAGTCCCACCTCTCTCCTTCTCTCCCTCCACCTGCTTCCATCAACAGTTCCTCTTCACTTTCACTTTCGGAATATTCAATTTCGACTCTTTCAGAGTTTTGTGCTTTTTCAAGTCTAAGGATAAAAATAATAAATTAATGATTCCGAGTTCAAATTCTGGAGTTATGATTGTTTTTAAAAATGGGTCAATTTTTGAAAATACCCAAGGCTATAGCCCATGGTTTTTTCCAAAAAATGGCTCCGAAATCACCCCAAATTTTTATTACATTTTCTGATACATATTGATGTCCTTATGCTATGTAGAAAGTTTGAGGTGATTCCGACAAAGAATTTATGAGTTATGACCATTTAAAAAAACGGGTCAATTTTTGAAAAATACCCAAGGCTATAGCCCATGGTTTTTTCAAAAAAATGGCTCCAAAATCACCCCAAATTTTTATTAGATTTTCTGATACATATTGATGTCCTTATGCTATGTAGAAAGTTTGAGGTGATTCCGACAAAGAATTTATGAGTTATGACCATTTTAAAAAACGGGTCAATTTTTGAAAAATACCCAAGGCTATAGCCCATGGTTTTTTCAAAAAAATGGCTCCGAAATCACCCCAAATTTTTATTAGATTTTCTGATACATATTGATGTCCTTATGCTATGTAGAAAGTTTGAGGTGATTCCGACAAAGAATTTATGAGTTATGACCATTTTAAAAAACGGGTCAATTTTTGAAAAATACCCAAGGCTATTATAGCCCATGGTTTTTTCAAAAAAATGGCTCCGAAATCACCCAAAATTTTTATTAAATTTTCTGATACATATTGATGTCCTTATGCTATGTAGAAAGTTTGAGGTGATTCCGACAAAGAATTTATGAGTTATGACCATTTAAAAAAACGGGTCAATTTTTGAAAAATACCCAAGGCTATAGCCTTCACTTTTCTCCAAAAAATGACTCCAAGATCACTCTCAATAATTAATTTTCTGATAAAAATGCTTGACTCACTTTTTCCTCAATGACTTGTGCTTAATATCAAACTCATCCATCGCAGTTTCCAGTAACATATTTTCAATTTCTCCAACTTCTTTACACTCTTCTGTCTCTTCTAAAGGACCAATCTGATCATCATTGTATTCAACCATAAACTACATGTATATTTAATGATAATAATAATAAACATAATAATAATAATAATAATAATAATAATAATAATATATATATAATTATATATAATATACAAATTCTAATGCTCATATCTTTTCTAACCTCTTCAAATCTTTCATCAAGCATACTTAATCCTGGAAAGAGAGAGAGGAAGAGAGTTACATGTAAGCTCAACATTTTAGTTTTATCAATGTCTGTTAATTCAATTAACATTACAGTACATTTATCTAATTAATTATTCATGGACGACACCTTCATTTCTCGGTACATCTGCTGACGTCATTGAATAACTAGTAAACCTTCCTCCTCCCTCTTCCTCCTCCTCCTCCTCCTCACTGCTGGAGCTGTACTCTCCCTCCATAGCTCCATCAAAATCCCCTCTACTCTTCCACCAAGGGATACCGTCATCAGTTGACTCACGTATGGAACTTTTATCATTCACGTATACCGGAATACCAGGCTCTCCTCCGTTCGCCTTTTATAATAATAATAATAATAATAATAATAATAATAATAATAATAATAATAATAATAATAATATATTAAATATCATCTTACTTGTAGTATAAAATCGTCTTCTAATAACTCGTCCTGGCTCTCATTCTCACCATCGTTATCAAGAGCGGCCACAATGTCAGGATCCCAATCAACTTGAGGACCTTAAAAATAAAATTTAAAAAATATAATAAAATATTGTCAATTTTTAATTATTTTACCTCTTAAAGGAGCCACTTTATTGAGTCTCCCTCCCTCAACTTTGACCTCTTTCCCAAACACTTCGTTAGGAAGGAACGATAATATCTGTAAATAAACAAATTAATAAACAAATTAATAATAAATAATTAACTTTTTGATGGTCTAGAGAGGCCTGTATGGTAGAGGCAGGGTCCTTCAGGTGTTGCAGGTAATCATACTCGTCCTGGAACCCGATACCATACTTCTCCTGCTCCGTCAGACGCTCCTCATGCGATAAAACCTATTGAAAAAGTTAATACCCAAAACGTGATAAATGATAATGCTTTAAATGATTTAAGCTAATTTAGTTAGAGGTAGAATGGTACATCTGAAATTAGTAGAGCGAACCCCCCCCCCTAATACATCAAAGTTAACACACACATAATAAAAATTACGTCCCCTTTTACGTGATCACGTGACTCACAGAGGGCGTGGCTTGTTCAGTGAGTACCATTTGTGATGCCCCAGGATCATTGCAGTACGGGTCAGACTGACTCCGGTGGACCAGATTGAAAGTGACTGATTTCTTCTTATCGATAAATTTCTTTTTCTTTCCCTGAAAATAAAAAACACGGAACTGAGAGGACAAAAACTTAATTTTCTTACCATTCTGCAACACGAGGCTATGAATAATTAATATTCCACGCCTACCAAATCTATTTTGGGTGTGGCTTAGACCTACCGAGCTAGAGGAGGGAGGGGCTCACCTCTTGCAAAAATAGCATTGAAAATATGCTGAAACAGCATGTGATATTTATAAGGAAAGGGTCACTATAACTAAAATAACTGCAATAATCTCCTACACACTCACAACACCAACAGACAGACAAAAGATAATAATAAAAATAATAATGATTTTAAATAATAATTGTCTCTAATTATCGTAGATATCCTCTTCCTCCATTTGCGAGGTACTGTGCATTACTTCAACATATTCTTCTTGTTCATCTTCTTCTCCTCCTACTCCTCCTCTCCCTGTCATGTGTGGTGAAGTGATAGCTCTTAATCTGTGCTGATCATCTCGACAGACGTTAACATAACTATGATCAGCCATCAGTACATTATCAATGGATCTGTGGAGCCCTTGTCTTCCTTGCTTTGTCATCTTCACATATTGATTATCAAGCGTTTCTTTTCTCTTATCTCTCACGACAGGAGGATGAGGTGCAACAGCAGGGAGTACCCCTCTAGGTGGAACAATCGGGTAATTACCAGATAAGTCCTCATACATATCCTGTTCATCATCTTCTCCTCCCCCTCCAGCAACATTAACTTGAGAGCCCCAGGTCATGTCCTCGTAGCATTCCTGCTGTGGGTCAGAGTTCCTCCACTGATCCCGTGGGGGTTCGTACTGTCTCCTGTTACTTGGAGGCTGGTACGATAGAGAAGGACCCACGACTCTCTTGTGCTGATGACTGGGTGTTTCCCTGTTTAGTACCTCTAGGGACGTCGCTGGACTCATTTTGACATAAACACTCTCTTTGTTGGGACCTCCTCTTCTTAGCGAGCCAGGGGTATCAATGTCAGATTCATTAATGGTGGCAGTTCTGGTTACGTGAGGATCGTAACTGTCACGCATTGAGTGGAGGTAAGCTGAAGAATCGTTAGTTTGCAGAATATTCTACAAAAGAAATTAGAATTGAATATTAATTATTCCCCCTCCCTCTCTCTCTTTTTCAAATTACATCTTTTTTTCTTCTTTTAAAGGAAATTTGTTTAAATGATTCTGAAATGACCACAGACGCCTTTTTAGGATAACGATACTAACAATATGCAAATAGTAATAATAATAATAATAATAATAATAATGTCTTACATATTCATTCTTTTTCTTTCTTATCCTCCAAATACAACAGAGCATGATCAAAATTATAACAACTATTATCAAAATTAAAGCACCACTTCCTCCAACCACTATTGCTATTATTTCAGAAACACTCAAAGAAAATCTAAAGCCAAAAAAGAAAAATAATTAAAAATTATTTTTGTTAATAAAAAACATAATATTTACCTAGAACTTCCTGGAAGACATTCCCCATTCATGTTGGAAGTGCCTTGAGGGCAAGAACCCACACAGACTCCCTGATAAACAGCATAGGAACACACTAAGCAACCAGAACTTGTTCCATTGACGCATTCACTGCAAAAACTAGTACAGTTGCTACATACAGATCCATTCTGGAAATACCCTCGATCACAAATGCATTGAGCTGTATCATTATCTGCTGTTGATCCAGTGGGACACTCAGATACACAGTTTAATGTATTGAGGGAAGAGTTTCTCAAGTAGCCATTAGGATCACAGACAAGATCTCCTCTCCCTCCTAGCCCTGGAACAAGGAGCGCATAATACTCTGTACAGGCGTAACAGTGATTTGAATGGGGTCCATAGCAGCTCTCACACAGCGAGTGGCAGGAGAAGCAGTCAGTGTTTAATGAGAGTCCACTGCTGGACAGGAATGATGAGTCATTGTTAGTAGAGCAAAGTGAGGAATAGTTGGAATATTGCCCATCAATGCAGTCATCAATATCCAATAGCTGATCATTCTCCTGTTCATAGCAGAACAAAGTAACATTATACAAAATATGTTAGTCTTACAGCAAGAGAGAGTGAGAGGAGAAAGAGACAAAAAAGAAAGACCTTCAGCAAAAGAGCAGCCATTGGTGAGTGATGTGTAGTAGAGAGTCCTTATAAGCTCAATGACAGTTATCATGGCACATAGTGTAAGGAAAGATTGTGTAAGATAGCCTTGGAAATACAGCACATAATGGAACTAACATGATCAGCAACGGCAAAAATGAATAATTGAATTAATACACAGGTTTGTTTTTGGAGTGACAAACAATGCTGACAAAGATACAGCATAGTCTCTTTAATAAGGACACTGTCAGTAGATTCCATTCATTTGTTATAAAGGAGCATTAGTCATTAGTGATTGAGCTTTAGTTTTAAAGGTGTCCTCATTGGCAGTGTGGTAGCACTGCAATTAATGAGGAGAAAATAATTTTAAACTAAATAAATGAATAGAGAGAAATAAGCAATAACCCTAATTATTAATAATAATAGGCTGATAGAAATAATAAATAATAATAATAAATAATATAATAATAATAATAATAATAATAATAATAATAATAATAATAATAATAATAATAATAATAATAATAATAATAATAATAATGATTGATAGCATTCTGTAGCGTTTCTGAAACAATTAGTAACTGATCAACAACAATAAAACCTGATGAATAATTAATGAGCTTTATACAAAAATTGCTGCAAAAAAAGGAGGCGGAGTTGAGACATCAAGCAAAATACATGACATTGCACATTCCTTCATGGATCTTAACAGCCTGAGCCATCAGAGCTGGGGATCGAGGCTCTTCGCTTTGTTGACTAGCAGAACTACCATCACCAGAACTAGAGAGATATAAAAGGAGGAGATTTAAATTTGAATTTCAAAATAAGTTTAAATTTCAAATGCTGGTACTGTACCTCCTGTCCTCCCTGTCCTGCAGGTGGTAGCGGGCCCTGAAGGCCACAAGGTGTGCATAGTAAGCAGGTGCCGGGTAGGAGACGCTCCTTGTGCAGCGAACGTAAGTGTGACACAACTGGTACGTGAGACACTGTAGGTCATCGGCTGTGAACCCGTTATCATCCCAGAGGACATGATAATGAGAGGGCCTACTGGTACCCTAGTTGAGAATGGAGATAAAACCTCTTTCATCTCCCCCTCCCTCTCTCTCTCTCCCCCCTCTCTCCCCCCCCTCTCTCTCCCCCTTACTTGGACTCCAGCATGGGAACAGAGGAAGAAATCAAATTCCGTAGGATGAGTAATACCGACATCAACTGTTGTACCAGCTGGTATGTTCCCGCTCTTTCCAACCTACACACACACACACACACACAATAAAGAACCATGGGCTCATATTATAATACCTTATCACGATCATCAGAGCAGAAGAGTCTTGTGTGGTGACGTTTTTGAACGACAATGAACGATATCCCAGGCTGGTATCCGTCTTCAAGTTTACGACAAGCAAGCCTGATACTAGCTAACTCGTGTGACAAGACCTAATTAATAATAATAATAATAATAATAATAATAATAATAATAATAATAATAAACAACTTCTTAATTTACACTTCTCCTTGCCCCGCCTCTTTTACTTTTTGCCACGCCCACTCTTTCTCACCTGTAAGAATTGTCCTTCGGAAACTCCGTCTCTATAAAATATAATCCTCTGTGGTTTAAACCTCGTCGACTTGTAAAACTCAATCAACATTTCTCTCACCATCGCAGCTAGTTCACTTATCAGTTCCTAATTAATGCCCAAATATAGTGTTATTCTAATTAATGTCGCACCCACCTGTCTGTGCTGTTGTATTCTTACAGTCGCTGAATATCGGCTGGGGTGAGCGTCCATACTAGCAACCAGCTGTTTATGATAAAATATTTTCTAATTATAAGTATCGAGTGTAATATTGAACTAACGGCAGCTATTGAAGGTTTCTTCTCATCTCCAGCTGGGGGGTGTGTCACATCTGCCCCCATGAATATAACCGGCTCACGAAATATTGGCGGCCTAAGAATAAGAAAACATGTATAACAGAAGCTGGAAATAAATCATGATTAAGTAATGAAATTTTGGTAAAGTTGGAAAATTTTTAATTTTTTGATTCTAAATTTCAACGCTCCCCTTACCTCATGTTGGGGACTATGATGCTGTTAATTCCGCCGAGTTTGACGTTTATTTTAAGACAAAGGTTAGAGAGGGTCTGAGGTGACGTCCTGTTCACGTTACGAGTTTGAACACATTGAGTGGCCACGCCCAACAACGTGTCGCCAACCCTCTTGACTTCAGCTGAGAGAAATTAAAATTAAAAGAAATAAAATGATTCGTTAAAATGACTTGTGAATATATAAGTTTAAAAGTTACTTCCCAAAGCATTCCTAGACCGGATTACATGTGTACATGTACATGTACATATATATCTCACCGTAAACTGGGGTCTTCCCAGGCAGTACTACTAGTATCAATTGAAGTCCCTCCATTTCAGTAAGCAGCTGCCTGAACAATGGCTCAACTGCTTCAACCCGCTCAACACCTGATAATAATAAAGTTATTATAAATTATCAAAAATGTTTCATAAAATGATGATTTTTGTCATTTTTTATGAAATTTGGCCAATTAGTTCCATTGTCACGAAATCCGTGACAAGCAAAAACCCATTAGTTCCATTGTCACTATAAATCCAGGACTTTCACCAGATTTTTTAGGAACTTAAAAAATTCCTAAAAATCCATAACTTAATCTGAACAGCTCAAGCTTTAAACACAACATAAGATCATGTATTATGCATCAGGATATGTAGCATAAAGTAAGACTCCATTGATAGTCTCTTACCTAGTCTGTCCTGGATGTATCTCACGAACTGTGGGTCTCTCCTGAATGGCATACCGGCATCTTGAGATATCTTACGCAACTGAAATACAAAATTCCTATAAAAAGAAGCAAAAATGAATAACACATGCCCTGTATGCCTCAGTAAATTTCGGTAAATCTTAGTATACCTCAGTTTTTCTTCAGGACACTGCTTGACTGAGGTGAATATTATGATGGCCCAGACAGAGACCTCAACTCCGAAATGAAACTGCTTCCCTCTCATGTCCCAGACCCCACGGTCAGGTAGTGCCTGCACACGCGCCTACAGAAATTAATTAATAATGTGTGGCCACACCCTCCTTTTATTACTTTTCCTCCGTATTGGAGTTTAGGAGGAGGTAGTACACGCCCAGTCACTGTCACCATTTTAGTATCAACCGAAATACCGAAATCCTGCACGTAGGGATCGGCGTTGAAATTAGCACGTGCAACCTAACAACAAAAACAACAATAACAACAACAACAACAACAACAATAATAATAATAAATACATAGTATAATTTCAGTCCCCACCCCTTGCCCCGCCCCCTACCAGTCTATTAATCTCGGTCTCTCTATCAGGGGCTGTCCTTGACGTTGCTTTTATCATTCGTGAGGTTTGCATCTCAGAGAGTTTCTTAATGCACCTTTGACCGGGGACCAAGTCACAGACCTACGAATAAACGTAAGACCTTAATACACAGCGAAAGAAGGACCTCACCTCCAATGGAAGGTAAGTGTGTTTCTTCTCTTGACCAACCTACAATGATAATAATAATAACAACAACAACAACAATAATAATAATAATAACAACAACAACAACAACAATAATAATAATAATAATAATAATGATGATGATGATGATGATGATGAAATATAGTCATTACCTGCAAACAAGGCAGAAACGGGTATTGTAGATCAATGTGATACTTTTCCTTGAAATATTGAACAACAGAACAATCGAAAACGTCACCATTCTCAAGTTGAAGTGGAAAACTAACAATTAAACAACAACAGTTATAATAATAAATAATAATAATTAATGATAATAATTACGTTTGAGCTGAGGCCGGTCTCCTAGTCACATTACAGACTCTGTACTTGCGTCTAATGGGACCAGTGTGCGTCACTTCAACCTTTAGACCTGAGGAGAATAATAATAATGATCTCCCTCCCTCCCTCTCTCCCTCTCTCCCTCCCTCTCTCCCTCCCTCCCTCCCTCCCTCCCTCTCTTTGCCTTTTATTTCTTTAGCAAATCTAAGTCTTTGTGAGTCAGAGAGTGGTCGTCTGATTACATCACTGTCCAAATCAAGAACCTCATGAACAAAATCAAGAACACACTGCCTCTTGTAAAATGCAGTGGCAGACACTACAATAAATAAATAAATAAATAAATAATATTAATTATTAATTACCATCAATATTCATCATCATTTTCCACATCGACGGTCGTATCGACTGATGGAATCCAAACCACACCTCTCTCCCATTACCCAGTGTATAGGGCTCACCCTCGGGCGGGGCAAAGAACGACCGTCCAACAGGAGTATAACTAGAAATAATATAACATTAGTATCTACACAGCATAAGGACATCAATATGTATCAGAAAATGTAATAAAAATTTGGGGTGATTTCGGAGCCATTTTCTGGAAAAAACCATGGGCTATAGCCTTAGGTATTTTTCAGAATTTTAGCATTTTCTTAAAATGGCCGTAACTTGAAAATTTGAAGTCGGAATCAGCTCAAACTTTCTACACAGCATAAGGACATCAATATGTATCAGAAAATGTAATAATAATTTGGGGTGATTTCGGAGCCATTTTCTGGAAAAAACCATGGGCTATAGCCTTGGGTATTTTTCAGAATTTTGGCATTTTCTTAAAATGGCCGTAACTTGAAAATTTGAAGTCAGAATCAGCTCAAACTTTCTACACAGCATAAGGACATCAATATGTATCAGAAAATGTAATAAAAAATTGGGGTGATTTTGGAGCCATTTTTTGGAAAAAACCATGGGCTATAGCCTTAGATAATTTTCAAAATTTGCTACTTTTTCAAAAGTGCTCATAACTCCAGAATTTGAGCTGGGAATCAGCTCAAACTTTCCACATAGTTAACAACAGTTATTAAGTGGTTACTAACAGTTATTAATAGTTATTAATCTTACGTCATTGATGGTAAGTGTCTCATGACGACGTCCAGTGCTTGAATAGACTCAAAAGGAATGGGAGCCAGACTCTCACCTCTGAGGACGCTGTCAAGAAGAGCCAAGTTAACCTGAGCTACATACTTCACTGAGACCTAAGGAAAAGAGAGAGAGGGGGGGAGAGAGAGAATAAAAAAATAAGAAGAAGAATCGCAGCACTTAGATAAAAATAACAATACTCGATATTATTGTCATTTTATAAAGCAACACCAGTGATACCTTAAAAGCTCTTTCTCTGTTACCATCACCTCCTAAAGTAACTGTTATCTCAACCTACACAGAAAGTGGGAGAGAGGGAGGGGGAGGGAGAAAAACAATAATATACTGAGGGGGAAGAAAGAGACAATAATCTTAGTAGTTGTGTGTGGGAAGTGAGTTTTCCTTTCACTACAAACAAAGGTGTTCATGTCATGTATACACAAATAGAAACCACAAACTACTCCATTACCAGTCCATTCAGTTTATGATACAGTAGTACAGTACACAGTAGCATAATTAAATTAACATTTCAGCAATACCGCCTATAATAATTACCACACATATTCTTTAATGTTTAGATTGTACAGTGCCAGTACATGTAATACCTGAGTCCCTTGATATCTGCCCTCAGCTTCACCTCAAGCAGATATCTCAGTCCTCAGGTATTACATTACTTATACACACACACACCTCCAGACAGGCTGGTTGGATGTGTCATTATAATAGTAATAATAATAATAATTGGACTATTGTATTATGTGGTTTGAAGTGGGTTATGTAAAACAAATTATTAAAAATAGAAGCCATTCATCGTAAAGGAATGCTGGCCTTAGATAAACAGCAAGGGATTCTTTTAAATCACTTGTGGTCAGGAACAGAAATAAAAGCATTACTGAAGAAAGAGAGAGTGTCCATTTTATAATTAATGTGTGAAGTCTTTCAAATTCAACATGTACCATAGAGTGGCTATACATGTACATGTAAGCCAGCCAAACTGTAGAGATACTGGCCAAACCAAAATATATTTAATTAATAATGATTAAAAATTAAAAAAGACCTTCCTTTTTTACAACCTCTTCTATAAAGCTGTATAATACTGTATGATGTGTCCATGATGTTAAAGAGAGGATCTCAACAGTAGCTATAGTAACTCACCCTGTCTCTCCCGATCCCTGGTAATGGTTTCCTAGAGTAGAGGTTCTTCTTCCCGTCAAAGACTGGATGCTGTTCCTCAAAGTAGTCCTTCCTCGTTTGAATCAGAGCCTCAATAATCTCACGATTAACGCGACGAGGACATTTATCAGGATGAATAGCAACGTCATAGTGATATAGTGTGCTGGTTGGGATCTTAACCTAATAATAATAATAATAATAATAAATTATTAATAATAATATTAGATATAATTACCTGAAAATGATTAGCTCTTAATCCGATTGGTCGTCCAATTTGTCCAAAGTTAGGGCGAGGGGGAGGCTGGAGGGAGAGGGTGGGGTGGAGTGAGGCAGAGGAAGGGGTCCAGGGAAGTACTGCCGTGAAAGAAAATGAAACAGTTGAAATACAACAATGGCTTCCATTATGAGATACAATGTGCTGTAAATTAGCAAAATGTTGCTAACAAGATACCGATTGTACATGCACACAGAACTGACACTGGTCCATTATGTATTACATGTATGTGTAATGGTGTAGCCTCTTTAAATGAGGACACTTTTATAATGAGGACATTTTGTAATGTCCCAATTGGTACAAACCTATACAAAAGTACCTCTGAAATGAGGACACCTCTGTATTAAGGACAGGTAGTGTGGGCCCAATGGTGTCCTTAATAAAGAGGCTACACTGTACATGTATTAAGGACAGGTAGTGTGGGCCCAATGGTGTCCTTAATAAAGAGGCTACACTGTACATGTATTAAGGACAGGTAGTGTGGGTCCAATGGTGTCCTTAATAAAGAGGCTACACTGTACATGTATTAAGGACAGGTAGTGTGGGCCCAATGGTGTCCTTAATAAAGAGGCTACACTGTACATGTATTAAGGACAGGTAGTGTGGGCCCTAATATCGTCACACTTCAATAAAGAGGCCATGCTGTACAAGTATGTTCATAGAGACGTACTAGAGCCAGGAGTAATGGATGAAGGCGTTTGAGGAGTGATTGGTGTTAGAGGAGAAGAAGTGATGGAGGGAGAAGGGAGGGTAGAGGGAGGAGGGAAAGTTGGTATGACAGGACCCCCTCCTCCTCCTCTTGGTCCTGGGAAAGGCGGTAGACCCAGAGTTACAGGAGGGAGGGTTACAGGAGGTGGTAGGGAGTGAGCTGGTACTGGTAAGGGTGGAAGTGATGCTGACGTGTATCTGTCCATTGGTGACCAATGAGAGGAGTCTATGGGGGTCTAGAGAGACGGTACATGATCATTATAAAGCCTACTTATTGGTTCTTACTCCAATACGAGACATTCTCTTCTCTCTATTTCTCTCTCTTGGACTTTGGCTGCTGAGTTATGCAATTTAATAACATCATGACCACGCCTTTTAATTAACTAACCACAATTTGTTAGCCCACACCCATTTTAATTAACATAATGAAAAATAATAATAATAATAATATTAACAAGCAAAAATTATGACTCTGATGCTATGGACACTTTAGTACTTATTAATTTATTAAACACGCACACACACACACACACGATAATGTCTAAATTGATTCAAGCAATGGTTCACGAAGCTGGTTAGATACATCAACAAAACTTTCCAGTACAGCCTGAGGATCATCGTTAGAGCTAACGGCAGCAATATTGTGAAGACTCGTTGAATTCTTTATCTTCTTGACACCACTACATTTGTCAGAGCCACACCGAAGTTTGCAAAAGGTATAAACATGATAGGCCATTATACAGAAAAACCCTAGGAAACCCAGCAAAAGCATGATGATGATTCCAATTTTAGCACCACTTCTCGTTATAGCATGAGTCCTCAAATGGCCTTGATCACCAATAGTCCCAGCAATTATGTAGAATATTATTAAAAGTAGCATCAAGTAGCAAACATCAAGCATATGGATGATTTTATTCTTGTAAACGGATCCAAAACTGAGGGTGACTAACAGTATGGCAATAACAGCAACAGAGATGCTTATTATTCTAATGCTGGTTGTTGTAACTAGTGCTATAGCTATTATTACCCTTGCAACTAGTAAAATACCAGGCCAGAACCGGAATGTATCAGTATGAGGGCCAGCATAAGCATCAAAGACTGGCTTCAGTTTAAGATAGAGTTTTGTACCAAAACGCCATTTAGAGCGACACTTCTCCCACAATGGAAAGAATAGGAGGAACAATATGTATGGGCTAATGAGAAAGACCAATACTGGCAGTCCAATGAGAAATAGGATCAGATGACAACTGGACAGATAAGGTTCTCCGTTATAATACCAAACCAAATGATCGAAACATGTTGTTGATAAAGCTGGATATATGAAAATAGAAATAACAGTACGGAGGAGTTTAGTGTAGGAGAGAAGCAACAGAGTGCACAATACAGGAACTGCATTGTTACCAATCAACTGAGAGAGTTTAGAGAACCTTCCACTCAGTACAATAATGAGAAGGATTAGTAACCAAAGATAGAATGGAAACACAAACTGAAGGCCAATCTTGGCACATGCATTCATACCATCAAAGAAACACGTCTCAATACCCAAATCCAAGTTAATCCAAGCAATGAACTGACTTAGTACTGGAGTATTGTCAGTCCCAAGGAGTATTGGTTGGAATATCTTGACAACATTAGCAAAGAACAATAGTCCATTAATAGTACCAACAGTGACAGTTATATTAAGAACAATGATGAGGATAACAAGAGCAATACCAGCCAATGAGAATGGAATAATAAGAGACAGATAATCATTAGTACATTCTCCACATTTATTGGATCCTAACATAAGACTAAGTCCTTCATTACATTGGGTGCACAGTAGACCTGATCTATTCAGAGCACATTGTTTATTAGGATCATCCAATGAGTAGTTCACTGATGATTGAATGCAGTAATCGTATGGACATAGATAGTATACTACAGTGCTGTTGCAGTTTTTATAATTTCCAATCCAGCCATGTATGCCTTCCTTTGTCACAGTAGCATTCACACCATTGCATTCTGTAGAGGCATCTTTGATATAGCTCTCACATTCACAAACATGTGATACAGGAGACAGGTAAGTCCCAGTTAAACAAGGATTAATGTCAACATCAACAGTCAGTGGATGCTGAAAGAAATTTGTTTCAAAGTTACCAATAGTGACATTCACAGTGACTTTTGTGGTGCTGTTGTGCTGAACTTGAACCACTTGAGTCAAATCAGTGCACTTTGTTGACAAATGCATAGTGTAGTGAGAATAATTAACAGAGTGTTCTCCTTTATTAATAGAAACACTGATAATGCCAGTAGTTGCATTTTCATCCTGACCTATAACAACTACAGAAAACTTGGCGCTACCTCCTGGTACAGCTGACATGGACAAAGTTTTCTGACTACAATTCGTTATCACATTAGCATCAGGACCCTTTCTACAGAAACAGACTCCACGTGGATCAGACGATATTATAGAAAAAGTGTCTTCTTGATCAACAAAAGTGCTAATCTCACTAAAGCCAGCTTGTGTACATACACCAGTGTCTCCACCATAAAGCACTGAGCCAGCAATTTCAGCAGTATTGCCTTGAAAGTATAAATGTTTTTCAGCAAGATTTTTATCTTCAAGTCCATAAAAGCAAGGATTAATGATAACATCACTTTGACTGAAAAAATAGTCAACTGCAGTAAACAGTAGAACAACTTGTTCCACATTAACAGCTCCCCCTTTATTTGTAGCGTGATTGCCGGTAAAATTTACCAAAGAGCCAGGAGTGAAAAACAAGTAAGATGTAGAAATCATGAGAATTCCGCCACCAATGTCAGCAGAATTATTGATAAAATTATTGACTCCGTAAAACGTGGCATAGGTGTTAAAAATCCCAAGCCCACTTCCCCTGTTGTTGCTAAAGGTGCAGTTAATGATGGATAAGTTCCTCCCATTGGAGACACCGACAGTTGCTGCTATGCGATGATCATAATCCAAGAGTTCAGCAGAAAGTGTATTACTATCAAAAGTAACATTGTGTAGTGTTATATCAAAAGAACCTTCAATGGTTGGATTTCGATCTGTAGCTATTAATAAAGCGCTCCCAATAATCCCTGTATTGTGAGAAAAAGTTGAATGACCAAGATAAAATAGGCCAGAAAGAGAGGTAGACCATAATATTACTATCCCATTGCCTGTGAAGAAACAGTCTGTGATGTTTATAAATGGCATACGGCTAAAATCAAGGTCATTTTGTGCTTTGTTTTGAGATACCATGAATCCATATTGACTGGCTGTAGATCTAAGTGTAGTAATGCTTAGGTCATAATTATCAGTCACACTAAATAAAAGGATGTTTAGGAATCCATTATTAGCAATATAAATAGACTCAAAACGAATATCAAGAAGACTTTTAACCTGAATGAGCTGAATATGTAAACCGATGGCTTTATCATTGGTAATATTGGAACGAAGCATTTCAAACTTCATTGGATTGGTGTCAGAGTTGTTGCCTGCTTGAGCTGTAAAATAGAACACTGCAACAGAAGTTGACTCGTTGTATGTGCTATTTCGATTGTTAAAATAAAAAGAAGAGTAGGAGATTGAAATATTTAACGAATCAATAAGCGCCAATGCAGCACCAGGACCATCTTGTATTGAGACGCAGACTATTTTAGCATTTGAAACATTTAACATAACTAATGCGCTTTCATAAAAATCATCTTTTGATGCGAATCTTTTGCCACAATTTCTGACCATTAAATTTTGAAACTGCACGTTATTACAGGATTCAAATTTTATCGTAACATTTTCAGCTGTACAACGTATTACGACTGGAAAATCCAACGGGTTGGTTTCTCCTGTCATTCCATGAAATGTTACGTTGCTACTTAGAGAAATATCTATAGAGTTATTTAAATAATGATTACCAGGAAGAAGTCTGAATATTGCCCCTTCTTCTTCTTCTTCTGTAAATACAGCAAAGTACTCATTGAGAGTGTAACAGTCACTACCATCAAGAGGACATCCTGATTGGTCACCATTAGGATGGACATAGTATATCTTCTCCTGTCCTGATGCAGGAAAAAAACAAACAGCCGTAGCAAAGAGAAGGATGATGCCAATGAAGGACATTGTAAACTGTAAACTAAACCGTGCTTACTCTGGCAGTAAATGCAACAGAATAGCTCAGCTCATTGCTTTCTATACAAAGCACTGTTAACGCCCTTCTACTTTAGGCGAGGCTTAGGTGTGGCTTAAGTAGGTGGGGTGCCAATGGGTGAATTTTGTAAAAACCAAAAAACTAAAGTTAAATTTACAAATTACACTGGAGGGTCTGTAATGACCCTTACAAAAATTTTACATCAAGAGTAAAGCTGAAAAGAGCCCGGAGACTTGGTGTATATTTTTTGAACCAGGTGGTTTTATACTCTGGTATTTGTAAAAGGCTATCATGGGTTGCTGCCGGTTGCATAAAATGTGGTTGACACTTCTCACTATTATAACAATGCTATTTATAAATGGGAGCTGCTATTTACAAAATTTAGAAGCTGCTATTTACAAATTATAGCTGCTAAGGACAAAATGCACTGCAGTCTGCTGTTTAGTGTTTATTATGGGTGTAGCTCAGTAGGTGGAGCGTAGCGCCCACAAAATTTGTGCGCATGCGCTATAGTCCCTCCTCGTGTTCCTTTCTTCTTGAAAATGAGGTTAGAGAATTATATTTTTCTTTCTTGTTTAATAATTTACTATTTTTAGTTCCCTCAAGCTACAGAAGAGGTTGGCGGCAGCAGTTTTGAAGTGTGGGAAGCGTAAAATTTGGCTAGACCCTAACGAAGCAACTGAGATAAGCAATGCCAATTCCCGTGAGAACAATATTCAGAAATATATTTATTTATTTTTACTTTCAGGTCAGAGTGTTCGTAAGCTAGTGAAAGATGGTTTAATTATCAAAAAACCGCAAATCATTCACTCAAGGTCTCGTGTTAGACGAGCAATGGAAGCAAAAAGGAAAGGACGTCATTCAGGTGGGTGTGGTTTTGATGATCACTGACCACGCCCTTTATAGGTTACGGTAAAAGGAAGGGAACAGCTAATGCTCGTATGCCGGAGAAGGTAATCTGGATGAGGAGGATGAGGACATTAAGGAGATTATTACGGAAATATAGAGAAGCCAAGAAAATTGATTGTCATTTGTAAGCCATTTATTATGCGTGTTATTATTATTATTATTGTTATTATTGTGTGATTGGTTTTTAATGAGGAAATTAACTAAGTGTCCAAGTACAAAGTTTTATTTCATCCTCAATTTATTATTAATTATTATTTGATGGCATAATTGTGCAAATTTGACATTTTTGTGTTCACCTTTGATGTACATGTAGATGCATTTATTATTATTATTATTATTATTATTATTATTATTATTATTATTATTATTATTATTATTATTATTATTATTATTATTATTATTATTATTATTATTATTATTATTATTATTATTATTATTATTATTATTATTATTATTATTATTATTATTATTATTATTATTATTATTATTATTATTATTATTATTGATAGATATCATATGCTTTATAAAAGAGTCAAAGGCAATGTCTTCAAGAACAAACGTGTTCTAATGGAGTACATACACAAGAAGAAAGCTGAAAACCTAAGGGCCAAGCAATTAGCGTAAGAGAGAGAGAGGGAGGGGGAGGGAGGGAGACATTAAGGAGACATTAAAGCTGTTACTATAAAAGATGATTTATTGGTGATCAGCAGTTCTATAAGGGAATCACTAATATTAAAATTTGTCAAATATTACTTTGGTATATCTTTTTCTGTTTTCTTAGTGACCAGGCGGAGGCCCAAAGACTTAAGAGTAAGCAGGCAAGACAAAGGAAAGCAGAAAGGAAAGCTCAAAAGAAGGCGGAGCTACTGGCTCTCCTGGCTAAGGAGGACGAGCAAAAGAAATAGAGAACAAATGTGTGCTTTAATTGGAATAAATCTCTGTTCTGTTTTCAGCAAATGTTTTACAATAAATGAAATTGAGTCACGTCAAAAAAGAAGGAAATGAGAAAATTGTGTGGGTGGGGCTTGTAAAGCTGCAAAAAATTTGGGTGGGGCTTGTAAACTCAATTTACACTTAAGGTGTTATTGTAGTTGCAAATTTTTAAATAAAATAGCAATTTTTATGCTGTCGTAATGTAATCTCACACTCAAGAATATTTCAATTATAAACATTAGGACATCTCCAGTACAAGAACTAATGTAGCATTAATTAAAAGTGATACTGTGACATATAGCACTGTTTACATATCAACCTTCTTGTTAGGAGTCATCAACATTATTATGAACATGTGTACAATACATATGAGTATGTACGTGATGTAAATACATACAAATATGCACACATTATGTACACATATATGTACTTATATATATGTATTGTGTGTGTGTGCGGTTTGTCATCACTCCCTAATTATACAGATTGGAATGTACGCACGAGTAAACATATTAAAAAAACAAAAGACACAATGAGAGAGAGAGAGGTAGGACGTATTAAAAATCAAATAAAATCAAACACAATGATATTATCACATGTATAGCAGAGATTGTAGTATAGTGTAGGACCATCAACTTAAAATAATAATAATAATAATAATAATAATAATAATAATAATAATAATAATAATAATAATAATATTAATCTGAAGAATGCCATGATTCGTTCATTCAGATCAGAGTGGTGTCATAAATATGTTATTTGCTGTGTCATTCACATAGACATCACCGCTCTTCTTTGATGCTCTTCTGCTGCTACCTCTTCTTATCTTCCTGAAACTGTTCCTTATGCTGTTTCGCATGCTTGCAAAACTGGAGGCACGACTAATGGAGTCACCATCACCAGTCTGAACAAAGGGGGGAGAGAGAGGGAGGGGAGAGGGGGGAGATGTTAAAGACAAATAAACAAATTAGTCATCAAACAATTAGAAAGAGAGAGAGAAAGGAGTTGTGGAAATTAAGAGAGAAATGAAAAATTGATCAAACGAAGAGAGAGAAAGAGGACAATTCAAGCAAAATAGAGAGAGTAGGAGGGTAAGAGAGATGATTACTCCATTGTACCTGGTGATGTTGTGCTGCCCCATTCTGCTGGACCCAATACTGTGCAGTGACACCAATACCAAAGGCACCTCCAGCTGCATACGTCCTGTACTCCCTAAGACAGTCATTGATAGTATCAATATTATGGACAGCGACATGCTATGACTCACCTTTTAGGTCCTTTACAACAGCAGCAGTAACAACAACAGCAAAAAAAAATCAATAATACAATTAGTAGTATGACTCCGCCCCCTGCAGCACCAGCTATTATAGTGATAGGTAAAGTAGGTCCTTCCTGTATATACATGTAGTGAATGAGATTGAGATATAGTTACAATTTAAATTAGAATTAGATTAATTTATACTCATACTCCACTCCTACCCCACACATTGTTTTTCATCTCCCTTTCCCCCTCCATAGTTTAGATGGCCTTGAGCCAAATTTTTTCAAAATTGAAAAGAAGAGAATTATCCATTTTTATATTTTTCCAATACATATACATGTATACATGTTTTCTTGTTGTGTAGCAAGTTTAAGCTGATTCTGATCAAAACTGGATTTTTAAATAATTTTTAAAGTTGCTCGAAAATCAGGCCAAAGTCCCTGTACTATAGTACAGGGTCATTGGCCAAATTTTGCCAAAAAATGGAAAGGAGAGAATTCTTCATTTTTATAATTTTTCTGATACATATACATGTACTTATGTTGCTTGGAAAGTTTGAGCCAATTCCGATCAAATTTAGATTTTTTATGAATTTTTAAAGTTGCTTAAAATCTGGCCAAAGAGTCCCTGTGCTACAATATATTCCCTCCCTCCCTTTCTCTCTCTCTCTCTCTCTCTCTCTTACAGTTGTAGTTGGAGTTGGCGAAGATGGAGTTGTTATTGATGTCGACGTTGAAGATGGCGTCATGGACAAAGGTGTTGTGGTAGAACTGACAATAGAGGAGGAGGAGGAGGATGGAGGAACAGGAGTACTTGATGCAACGACTGATGGAGTCATCGACGTAGATTGAGAGGAAGGAGAAGGAGACAAAGACGAGAAAGAAGTAAAGCTTGGCATTGGAGTAAAAGAAGACTGCATAGAAGAAGAACTGGAGCTTGACGAGAACAGAGATGACGATAACTCCGGAGATACTGACATAGACATGCTGCTGCTACTCAAACTGCTCATGGTAGAAGAGACAATGGAGAAACTATCCACTGTAGTCATTAGCATTTCCTCGTCAGAGAAAGAAGAAGGAGGTATGGCAATGCCTGACATGAATAGAGAGCTGCTGGGGCTAATATCATCAGAGCTGGTCTCATTCTGTGAGGCAGCGAGTGAGAGGAGAGCTAGGAATAAAACTGCTGTATATGTACCAGGGAACATTATCTAGTGATGAATGGAAACACTAGTTAAACAAGAGCTAGGTATCCCATAGAATTATAAAAACTGATATTACTCACACATAATGCACGTACATGTACATGCACATACACATATATGTAAAGGTAAATGTGCTTGAATGTGCAAAATTTTAATCCAGCAATCATAAGGACAAGTAAATATTGGAGCTGTTAATAATTTACATGAGCTTTGCCTAGAAGTTTAAATTTCCCTTGATCAATTTGAGGACAAAGAACAACACACAAACAACAAACTCCATTTTAATAGCACAATATATAGACACGTGTGCCCACACAATGCTACATAATCCTACAAATATGGTGACACATAAAGACAAGCATATTAACTTCCTTAGCACACATACCACCGGGCAACCATATTATGTGAGAAACATACAGGGATAGAACCATATTCATAGTCTGAGAGAGGAACATGATAATAATAATAATAATAATAATAATAATAATAATAACACGTTCACTGCACTTTAAATTACATTACAAGTCCAGTAGTTAAGATTCTGTTTATGTACTATCATCACCAAATCTGTTCTACCCTCCATCCTTTTGGGTCCTGCTACCTCTAATACTGAACTTTGTCCCTCTCTCCCCTGCCCTGCTTTTCCTGTCACCCAATACAAAAGCAGCTTTCACATAGCAAGCATAACTAACCACACATCAGATGTTACACATAAGAATCATAACGTGTGATTCTAGACACACACACACTGACATCTTGTACACACACTCCCACTCATTTTCTCTCTCTCTCTCTCTCTCTCCCTCCCAAAGCAAAAAATGAGTAAAATTTAAATACACACAAAGAGAGATTGGCTACATACCAGCCACTAGTAGACACACAAGTTTATTGTACAAGAAATGCACTAATCCTAGGCCTACAAGCTCCCGGGCTATGTTTTCATTACACAGCTAGCTAACCTCTTTCCGATTTATTGTAAGCAGCAGACCGCTAAGTGGGTTAGAATATTCCACTGAGAGAAAGAGAGAATAAAGAGACGATAAAATGAGTAGGAGCTCGCCTCCCTCTTGCCTTGTAGGCTTGTAACACTAAACCTTCACCACAAACAGAGTAAAGTTACTATGATATTACCACCGCAGGGTTACTTCATGAATAAGCTAATCAAATAAAAATTATAAATATGCCGTTTAATTAATTACAATAGAATTACCGGAGGGAAACAGAGCATTAATACATTATACGGAGTTCCTTCATCAGTATACGGAAGTACTGAGTACTCATGTGGTTATACGGATATAATGTACTCCTTGGCTCGTAGTGTATGCTTTTATGTTCCTCGAAAATGTCGTGGAGTACTTTTGATATTATGCTTTCTTATTGTAGGAATATCTTTATTACTGGGCCTCCATATAACAGCCGTCCTGCTGGGAGCAGCTAACCAGGAGATGAAAATAACTGAGAAAGCACTTAAAGAAGACATACCTGTTCTAAAAATAACTACCGAGACTACAACATCAACCACTGAGACATCAACTTCATCATCATCCATGTCATCTACTGCAGCAGGACAGCAAGAAGGGATCGCTTGTCTTCCATCGTTCCCAAAAATCCTTTTATTCATACGAATACCAAAATGTGCAAGTACTTCGTTCCTAAGCATAGCAGAAGAAATATCTTCTCATCAAATAGTGGGAGATGGAAAAGGATTCAACTTACACTTTAATCCAAGCGGGGCCTACGATTGGAACAAAGAGACAATAAAGAGTGTTTTATCAACGCTTAGAGAGCAATCCTTCATTGGAGATAGATCAATGTATATAAGACACTTTTACTATGTCAACTTTGATGACTTCTCTGTTCACGAGGGACAGCCTCTTTCTTCCTTCTCCTACATCACAATAGTTAGAGAGCCAGTATCCAGAATAGTCTCTTCGTATCTTTATTACCATTTCAGTTCCAAGCCTCACATACAGAGGATCCTCAACCCAAAGCATAAGAACGAATCCCTGGAGACCTGCATACAGTACTCACACGAGGGCTGCACACCTAACTTGATGACGAGGTACTTCTGTGGACAAGAAAGCTCCTGTGCAAGTGGATCTATGGCAGCTTTAGAGAAAGCAAAGAGGAACATCGAGAGACATTTTAAAGTTGTTGGTTTGCTCGAGAATCTCAAGGAGACATATTTATTGTATAAAACCCTCTTGCCGGGTTACTTTAAAGACTTAGATGAAGACAAGGGGTTGAGATTACGCAAGAATAAAAATGAAAAAAGTATGGAACTGTCTGTTTCTTTGCAAGAGAGAATAAAAGAAGCAAATGGAGCAGACGTGTTGCTCTATGAGTATATTAAAGAGAGATTTTTTGAACAACTCAGAAATTGTGGTATTAAAACTGATTTTAAAAAGGTAGAAAAATAATATCATTTAAAAGAAAAAAAATTGATAATACGTGGATAATTGATTAGCAGTTTAATAACAAAAATAAAACCTAGTCTCTAGATTTGACTGTTTACTCTTTGCTTTTACTGTACTATGATAATTATTATTAATAATTGTTGAAAGAATATCTGAGGAGGGGAAGGAAAGGTAGCTACGTTATTGGTCATCTTCATCTTCTCTCTCTTCGCTAGTCCAGAGCTGGAGAATAAAAAAAGAGAAAATGAGAAACATCAAAGTAGGGCACCATGATGTTTCATAAACAGATCATAAAGCGTGAAATTATAATAATGGTGAAGTATCAATAAATAATGTTTCATTTTAAAAAGAAAGATGGAGAAAGGGGACATACATGTACTCTTACATGTAAACTACGAGACAGAGAGAGGGAGGGGGGAAAGAAGTGGAGAGAAAAAGAGACGTAATCTTACGCTCAGATTGTCCCGAAGAAGTTGCAGAATAAGTGAACTATCTCTGTAATCGGAGGAGTCACTGCCTTCCATGTCACTTATAGCATTTTCAAATGCCTACACACATAAATGTATACATATATGTGTACGTTAATTATAAACTTTAATGTGATTCTGAAGGGCCAGAGCATTAAAAATACATTGAAAAAATTTAATAAGTGCTGACGCATTTTAAAATTGAAACTTAATTTCGAACCTCTTTGGCGAGCTCACAAGCTTTGTTCACTTCTTTAGCAATCTCGTAATAAAAGACGGAAAAATTGAGAGCAAGTCCGAGGCGTATTGGATGGCTTGGATTAGTCAAATCCTTGGCAAGTTCGTATGCTTTCTCGTAAGCCTTCTTTGAATTTTCTAATAATAAAAAAATTAAGAGAATGTGACATAAGACTGTAATAAATTATAGTAGTAACAGAATCTACATAGGTTCATGCACATTATCTATTATTATTATTATTATTATTATTATCATCATCATTATTATTATCAATGATATTGTTATTAGTATCATTATCATTGTTATTATTATTGAGCTACCTATAGCATCTTCAGTTGGAATCTCTGCCATATATCTATAGTAATCTCCTTTCATTTTTAAGAAGAAGACTTGATTCTCATTCTTAGTGTCATCTGAAAATTTACTGTCAATAATACCCTGAGAGAGAGAGAGAGGGGGGGGGAAGAGATACTCATCAAAAAAAATTAAATTTAGCTAAAATTAATACTAATTTTTGAGCTACACACATGTACTGCATACATTCACTTTCCATTACAGTATAAATCGGTTTCAAAATGGCCGCCCCTCACTTACAATAATTTCATTGCACCCCCCCTTCAACTCCTCTTGTATTCTCTTTGTGTACTCTTGTACAAACTTCTTTTCGTTACTGTCAGGGTCTTTCGAGTCCTCAATACTAGCCAAGATCCTCAAAGCCGTCCTCCGTGAGCCGACCAAATTCTTATAAGCGACGGAGAGAAGGTTTCGACATTCTGCACCTCTAGCTTCAGATTCTTCGTCCTTCTTTATGAAAATGTCTGGATTCAATTCCGTCATCTTTTTCGTTGCCTTCAAAAAAAGAGGAGAAAAGAAAAGCCACCTTTAATTTATATAAACCAAAAGAATATTATAATACTAGACTACACCACACATTAAATAACTCGACTGTATATACATAATAATAATGGCTACTTCTTTCATGTCTTCAAATCTCTCCGCTTGTTCTGCTAGCTTAGCATATTCAAGACACATATCAAAGTCAAATCCATCCATTTCTACGAATTCTTCAAGTGATAAGCCCTTCTCTTCTCTCTCCAGCAGTTGTTCCTCCTACACAACAGGAAAAATGCTCAGCTACTTTCATGACCACACCCACTTAATTAATTATTCACATAATGACGTTGATATTGCCATAGAAACGGTAACTATAGAGACACAAAACCTTATATTACTAAAGCCACTATACTACTGAGAAATGAGATCACATAAAAAGAAAGAAAGAGAGAGAGAGATGTATGTCTTTAATAAACTCTTATGGTTGGGGGAACACTTGGACAATCATTTTCATTCAAAGTCTCATCAATTACTGGCCGATAGTCCAGCTTTACCTAACAGAGATAAAGATGATCTAAAATGAAAGATTACTTAAAATGGAGGTACTTCAGAGTCAGAAGGCATTGAAGAAAGGGTGTGCTTGCGCCAGTGATCCTTGACATCAAGTTTGTCCTGCCCCTCCAGTGGTAACTTGTAATCATATTCATCCACACGATCCTTAGAGAGAGAGGGAGGAGCAGGAGAGAGAGAGAGGGAAAAGGGCAAAGTTATTATACTGCTCAGGGTTACTAATACTCAGAATCATGAATCATCAATTAGCACCACATCAACACAATATGGCCGGACGCTTACTTTGAAGTCTTCTCTAGCGTGAGCTCCCCTGGTCTCTTTCCTTGCTTCAGCAGATGCTACAGTTTGGAGTCCATTAAGCATCAGGTTCTGTAGCTCCAGCGTCTCTACAAGATCAGTGTTCCAAACCAGTCCTTTATCATGAACCTAAAAGTTTATTGTACATATCAACACTTTTATGAACTTTGAGAGACCAGTCTAACTAAAAATAGGAGACTTAAGGAGGCCTAGGGCTAAATACAAGAAACTAAAAGCTGAAAATGAGATATTTCAGGAGAACTAAACAGACCAAAAGTCTCCTCTTATATAAATGGTAGTCTTTCTCTTACCTTCACATTCCTCATGTCGCCAGCAAGAGAGGTGAGCTTCTCAATACCTTCCTCCAGTACTGGGCCAGTCCGAAATACAGCTGCATTATTCTGCATTACCTAATGAGTAATTTTAACAATTAAAAAATGTTTTAAAATTAAATTAAAAAAAACAATTACCTTTTGCATGTTGAGTCTAAGCTCTGAAGTAGGAATGGTAGCGGTCTCATTGTGAAGGAGAGTATCAATATTATCAATGGAGGACTCACCAGTGCTCTATACAACGAAGGACACATACATGAAGCCATTCAAATGACCATACCTCGCTAATATTAGGGACAGTCTGACCAGGTGTACATTCTTCAGCGATAGTAAGAGCAGCTGCTCGCCCAAACACTACAATATCCAGGAGTGAATTAGCCCCCAATCTATTGGCTCCATGAACTGAAGCACAGGCCGCCTCTCCAGCTGAATAGAGACCAGGTATGATGTAATCCCCGCCCTTGGACTCATCATACTGTATAACCTATTGGGTGGAGTCAAGGTCAGTTCCTGCCACACCCACTAATAGTGTTTATTAATTACCTGTCCCTTGTAATTAGTGGGGACTCCACCCATATTGTAATGAACAGTGGGAAGGACGGGAATTGGTTCCCTCGTGATGTCAACTCCAGCAAATATTTGAGCAGTTTCTGAGATACCGGGGAGACGAGAGGCTAAAACCTTTCAGAAAATAATAATAATAATAATAATAATAATAATAATAATAATAATAATAATAATAATAGCTGGTAGAATTACTTCTGGTGGAAGATGTGACAGTTGCAAATATACGTGATCTTTATCAGGGCCACACCCTCTAATGCAGTTAAAAGGTAATTAATAATTTAATCAATTAATTAATTCATTAATTAATGTACCTTCCTTCCCTAATTTCAATAGTTATAGAACGAGACACGACGTCTCTAGACGCAAGGTCTTTTGCTGACGGGGCATATCTCTCCATAAACCTCTCACCCTCACTGTTCAATAGGTACCCGCCCTCCCCTCTGCTACCCTCCGTAATGAGACAACCAGCACCATAAATACCTAATATAGAATCAATAAGGACATCAATATGTATCAGGAAATGTAATAAAAATTTGGGGTGATTTCGAAGCCATTTTTTGGAAAAACCATGGGCTATAGCCTTGGGTAAATTTCAAAAATTGGCCCGTTTTTTAAAATGGTCATAACTCGAAAATTCCTTGTCGGAATCACCTCAAACTTTCTACATAGCATAAGGACATCAATATGTATCAGGAAATGTAATAAAAATTTGGGGTGATTTCGGAGCCATTTTTTGGAAAAACCATGGGCTATAGCCTTGGGTAAATTTCAAAAATTGGCCCGTTTTTTAAAATGGTCATAACTCGAAAATTCCTTGTCGGAATCACCTCAAACTTTCTACATAGCATAAGGACATCAATATGTATCAGAAAATGTAATAAAAATTTGGGGTGATTTCGGAGCCATTTTTTGGAAAAAACCATGGGCTATAGCCTTGGGTAAATTTCAAAAATTGGCCCGTTTTTAAAAATGGTCATAATTCGAAAATTCCTTGTCGGAATCACCTCAAACTTTCTACATAGCATAAGGACATCAATATGTATCAGAAAATGTAATAAAAATTTGGGGTGAATTTGGAGCCATTTTTTGGAAAAAACCATGGGCTATAGCCTTGGGTATTTTTCAAAAATAGGCCAGTTTTTTAAAAAGGTCATAACTCAAAATTCTTTGTTGGAATCGACTTAAACTTTCTACATAGCATAAGGACATCAATATGTATCAGAAAATGTAATAAAAATTTCACTGCTTTGTGTGTGTGTGTATTGAACCTGTTGGATGAAACTGTACAAACTCCATGTCTTCATTGGCCAGACCAGCTCTAGTGATCATTGCAGTTCCATCTCCAGTACAAGTATGAGCTGAAGTACAGGAGAAATACACTCTACCATAACCACTGGAAAAAAGAAAAGAAAATACAGCAAATAATAATAATTTTATAATAATAATAATAATAATAATAATAATAATAATAATAATAATAATAATAATAATAATAATAATAATAATAAGTGTATACCCAGTGGCCAGAACAGTGTTAAGTGCTTTGAAACGATGGATAGATCCGTCCTCCATATTCATAGCTACCACTCCCCTGCACTCTCCTTCCTCCATTATCAGATCAAGAGCAAAATACTCAATGAAGTACTCAGTATTGAAACGCAGCGACTAGTAGAAAATGTATCATTTAATAATAGAACACAGTATCAATAGTTTACACAGTACATGTACTAGTGTTGAAACGAATAGTATTTTTCACTATTGGAATAATTGGCATGCTAAACGAACAAATATTCAAATATCTCACTATTCGTTTCAGCCCTAGTACATGTACATGTACAGACTAGCCTCTATATAATGGACACTTTGGTACAAGAAAGTGTCTCTGTTATACAGTGTCTTTTATGTGGAGGTTATTCTATACAGTAAGGAATGTAATTGGTACACTAGGTGCTGTCCGTTAAATGGAGGTGTACGCTACAGAGAGTGTCCATTAAGAGAGGCTATACTGTACATGTACATGTACACATTACTTGTCCGTATAAAGTGTGGAGGAGTGAGTGGCCAGTTCTATCAGCCACACAGCAGCAGCGGTGAGCCTGCCCTCCTTTACCATAGTTCAGGCTACCTCCTCCAAAGGCTCTTTGATAAATACGACCATCTTCAAGTCTACTAAAGGGCATACCGTAATTCTCCAACTACAAGAAATGAATAATAATAATAATAATAATAACAATATTATTATTATTATTATATTAATTACTTCAATGACTGTCCTTGGTGCCTCTTCTGTCATGTAGTGAATGGCGTCTTGATCCCCCAACCAGTCGGATCCTTTCACTGTATCGTACATATGCCACTTCCAATTGTCTTCTTCCATGTGACCTAAGGCGGCATTGATGCCACCCTGAGGAGAGAGAGGGAGGGAGAGAAGTGACATTCATTAACGGGTTGATTTTGGAAGTAAAATTTAGCAATTTCGCTATAATGAAACCCTAAATTAAAATTATGCTGAACACACTAAATGTGACACGATTGCAATAAATCACAAAATTAATATCATTAAAAAAGGAAGCTTTCTCTCCCCATCTCCCTCACTTGAGCAGCAACAGTGTGCGAGCGAGTAGGGAACAGTTTAGTGATGCAGGCCGTCTTGAAACCTTGTGAGGAGAGACCAAAGGCCGCTCTAAGCCCCGCCCCTCCTGCCCCAACCACAATAGCATCATAAGTATGATCAATGATTTGGTATTGGCCTTTACGAGATACCTGTAAATAAAATATTATCATTTATTATGAAAGAGATTGCTATTATTATACATTTAAAGATAATAATGAAACAGAAATTGTATCTATTTATGATTAGAAATACAAACATTTGTACTACATTGTGTATTAATTCATGTAAATACACATGGAAGCTAATAAAGTCCTTACTTTAGCTGTATTGTTCTGTTTAGCGGCTGAAGAATGAAAAGGATTCCTTTTCAGTGTCCTTGGTATCTGTCAAGAGTGGAAATAAAGTCTCAGTTCCTTTCCGACTTACTTTTAGGCTCCGAGTGAGGAGAGCTCTAACAGCCGCCATTTTAAACCACGCCCACAAGTAACAATATGTAATAATCATTAACGTATTACGTAATCTTAATTATAAACAAGTTATTAAAAGTTATTAAAACAAGTTATGAAATTCTCTAAACTACAAAAAAAACAAAAATACACTTGCAGTTTCTGCACACACAGACTCAAAAAATGAATTAGTTTATTTTCTCATGCTCATTTTCTTTCTCAGTTCTTCTTGAAAGTCCATGCCTCCTAATGGGCGGAGCTGGTCTTTCTTTACTCCACCTCGAGCTCCAGAAGATGACGACGACACAGTGGGTGTGGTTTTCTTTGGAGGCCGATAATTAAGAGGAGGGGGTGGTGGAGGAGGAG